TTTGAAAGATTTGGGTACTTTCTTCTTTTCAGCTCTGCGACGGCCCAAGACGGCCCAAGAGGCCCCCAACATCGCCCCAAGAGCGCCCAAGAGGCCTCCAAGATGGCCCGATGACAGGCCAAGAGGCCACCAAGAGAGCCCAAACAAGACCCCACGACGGCCCAAGAGGCCCCAAAGACGCCCAAGATGGCCTGCAAGACGGCCAAGATGGCCTCCAAGATGCCTCCAAGACGACCAAGAAGGCCTCCAAGACGGCGAAAATGGCTCCAAGATGCACCCAAGACGGCCCCAGATGGCCTGAAGATGGCCTTAGACTGCCCAGAAGGCCCGCCAGAGGCCTCCAAGACGGCCCACCACCCCTCCGAGACGTCCTCCAGGAGGCCCGAAAGATCGGAAACCACCTGGTCCGATAGCTCGCCCGACTCCGTGTTCCCCGAAGGCTTTCAGAACCCACTCGGGGAACGCGTGTCCCGATAGCTTGGCCAAGCTCAAACCCAGCTTTCGGCCACGCAGGCGCTTCCAAAAAGGCAGGGAACGGCGGTGATTCGCCGTAGGCGTCTCCGATAAATTTAGCGTTGCCATAGCGAAGAGCCATGTTCTCGGGAACGATGAAATTGCCAGCGTGGATCCCAAACAATAAGTTCTGGCACTGCGGAGGTAAACCTATCTGATGTAGGGATGTATATGCGGTCCATTGTCGAAAAACAAATATGCATCCTCGGGACACCCCAACAAGCGGCAACGGCCGGCATCGGATGGCATCGGGCTGGAACATGGCGAATCCTCGGGACATCTCGGGACACCCTCACAGGCAACAACGGTCGACAACGGGCCAGAACGTGGCAAATCCTCAAGACATCCCAACTGGCCGCAACGGACAATAACTGGCCAGATCGTGGCGAATACTCAGGACACCCCCGCAGACGGCAACGACCGGCAACGGGCCAGAACGTGGCGAATCTCCTGGACACCCCCCTAGGCAACAACGGGCAGCAACGGCGCGGCAACAAGCCAGAACGTGGCGAATCCTTGGGACACCCATCGAATCCCTTGGAAACGCAAGTGCGAACCCCCAAGTGGAACAGCTGTTTCAGAAACAAGCGGCTCTGCCGTATCCAGGGCCGACCATGGCCCGAGCGTCCAGGACATGATGATCCTGGCGTCGCTTTTCTCCCCCCGCATATGGTTTGGGGGTGTGCGGCTGAGAGAGGAGAGCTCGCTATCCGCCTCCCACGCCCCGCACACTGCAGCCGCCAAGCCTCACTTGAGCAGGGACCGACCGTCCAGGCATTCCTATAGTCATACCACGAAATGTTCTTAGAACCCAGAAATGTTCTAAGAACAAAAACAATGCTCTTAGAACATAAACCCGGTGCGTTAAAACAAGACAGCCCCGGCCAGAAATGTTCTGAGAACATCTCGTGGAATCCACAGAAGGTTCTTAGAACATTGTCTGGCAGGGCTATAATATGAGCGAGCCGGGACGCTTCGCCACTGCTTGACCCAAGGACCCCTGGCGTTCCCTGGGCATCTCCCGCACCGCCTCGCCGACAGAAACCGGCGCCTGCACATGCCGCGCCCGCCGTGCCCCGTGGGGCCCGCCACTCCCCCCGGGGGCCCCGCCCCGCGCTCTCGCCCTGGGGGGATCGCTCGACCCAGACTGCGGGCAAGGTTCGTGTCCATATCCAGTGCCTCTTGGACTTTTTCGGAAGCGGCGCCACAGGGCCGAGGCGCACTGGATATGGACAAAAATCGAGCCTCGAGGGGGCAAACTTATCTATATCCAGTACGCCTCGGGTTTCTTGGGAAGGGAGCCCGAAACTCCATACTGCAATGGATATGGACAGAAGTATTGCCCGCACAGACGCTGCACGCCGAACGCCGGGCGGTTTCGCCCCACTTCGGCCGAAAGCCGGGCGAGGGCTGCCAAAACCGTGGCTGCTAAAGCGGCCCCCTCCCGGAAGGGAAAATTAGCCCGGCGAAGGACCCAACCATATGCAGTTGTGAATACCGCAGATATAAAGATCGTTTTCGGTGGCGCTACCTCTGGGTCGGGGAACCGCATGCGAACACCCCCACTGGGGCCTTCGGTGGAGCTCCCTATGTGGCCACGAAGCGCTGCCCTGGGTGGGGGAACCGCATGCGGACACCCCCACTGGGGCCTTCGGTGGAGCTCCCTATGTGGCCACGAAACGCTGCCCTGGGCGGGGGAACCGCATGCGGACACCCCCACTGGGGCCTTCGGTGGAGCTCCCTATGGGGCCACGAAGCGCTGCCCTGGGTGGGGGAACCGCATGCGGACACCCCCACTGGGGCCTACGGTGGAGCTCCCTATGGGGCCACGAAGCGCTGCCCTGGGTGGGGGAACCGCATGCGGTGGGGGAACCGCATGCGGACACCCCCACTGGGGCCTACGGTGGAGCTCCCTATGGGGCCACGAAGCGCTGCCCTGGGTGGGGGAACCGCATGCGGACACCCCCACTGGGGCCTACGGTGGAGCTCCCTATGGGGCCACGAAGCGCTGCCCTGGGTGGGGGAACCGCATGCGGACACCCCCACTGGGGCCTACGGTGGAGCTCCCTATGGGGCTACGAAGCGCTGCCCTGGGTGGGGGAACCGCATGCGGACACCCCAAAGAGGGGGAGGGAAGGAAGGAAGGAAGGAAGGAAGGAGGAACGCGGGGACTGTCTCTTCAAAACGAGGACCCAACACCACAGGATGGTTGGGACAAAGCAACTTCCCGGAATGAGGCGCGGCATGCGAAACAGTCAACGGGCGTCTTCCCGGAAGGACGATGACAACTTCCCGGAGGTCGATTTTAGCAGCCACGCATTTAGCAGCCCTTGCCTGGCTTCCGAGTCGGGCCCCACTTCGGGCCTCACGGATCGATATCCGGCTCGGGGCAGAGCTGGGAAAGGTCGGGACTGGGGTGCAAGGCTCTCTCGTCGGTCCGCACTCCGCCCCCCCCCCATTCAAACGGAGCCGCTGCTGAGCCCAGGGATGCGCCATGTGTTGATGCCTGTCCAAATGCGATGCCCCCGCAAGTCCCGACCCCCTCCCCAGGGCCGGCTTCTCATCCCAGGCGGTGCTTCGGCGGCACCCCCAGTCCGGCGAGGGCCCCTGGAGGTCGGACGCGACGAGCGACGAATGCACCGTGTGCTTGGCTCCATCCGACAGTTCGAGCGCCCGTGCGGATTGCCTCTGCCGTGCTGCGACCCCAAAAAAAACATGTTTTCATGCGCCGGAGAACTGTGTGAAGAGGACTCGAGCTCCTACCTCTCGGGGGCGCCGACAGGGAAGGACTGGATCAGGGGGGGAGGCATCGGACCCAGTCGCCCATTCCACGCCGATCGGGACCGCAGCCGCAATGGGCCAAATAGGCTCCCCAAGAAGCCCCAGGAACCATTGCAAACCTCCCCCTTCCCGTGCAGCAGGCACGAACCATGAGAGGTCTCTCTGCAAGAGATCTAGGGACAAGTCTGTCGTCGAGCTCCGAGCTTCCCGAAGTGCCCCAGGGCTCCTGTGCGCCCCCGGGCCATCGGAACAAAAAACAATCCCGTGCGGCACCTGCTGACAGGCTGGCCTCATGTTTGACCCACCCACGGTATACGCCGTGCTCGCGCGTGTGTGCAACACCGCCCGCACGTGGGGCTGGCCGCCTCTTCCCTGTGCGGGCGGGCTCTCATGCGGGAGAGAGAGCTGCGCAGGCGCGGTGGCGGAGAACTTGCGCGGGCACCAGGATGGATACCGAGTCACGCGTGTAGTGTAGTTACCCGGTGGCAAGTAGGAGGTAGTCGGCAGCGTGTATTGTGCGCGTTGTGTTACCGTCGGACTTCATTGGACAGGACACGCGAGAGGACACAAGACCCTTCCGAGGGCCACATTGCTGCAGGAATGCAGGAGGCACGGGTCGCGAGGCACGGGACACGAGGGTACCCTTGATTTGGCAGGGTCGACCTACGAATCTGGGCCGACTGCAGCTGTGCGTAGATGTCGCTCTTGTGTGAGTCTGTGACTACCTACCAAACCATCCCAACCCAACCCGAAGACCCGAATTTCGGGTTGGGGGGGGTACGGGCTTCATGTGTGTCTTCTCAACGTTCCCCGACCCCCCCCCCCAACTGGGAATGGAGGGCAAATTGGGCCTTCGGGTTGGGTTGGGGTGGTTTGGTGGGCGGTGAGTCTGAGTGCGTCACCCCATGCATCATGCCTTCGCGGGGCGATTGCAGAACGTGCCCGAGGCGGGCGCGGCGCAAGCCCAGCAAACCACGCCCCCCAGGACGCAGAGAGTCAACTCTCCAAGAGAAAGGGCCCGCAAACCTTTCCAAATCCTTCGAGGCTCGCCTTACTTGAGGACCCGCGAGGCACAGATCTGCAAGTAGGGCAGTAGGGCTGATTCGCACAAGGAGCGACGCGCAACGCCCATCATACAGTGCGGACGCAATCGCAACAAAAACTCTCGCAAGAAACCCAATCCTGAACACCCGCAAGCGCGAGATGCAAACGGGAGAAACCCCAGAGTACCCTGAACGCAGCAGCTACTTCAACGGCCGCGGAAGTCACCGCACAGAGCGCGGAGCGAAGAGACACACACACAATACCCTGACGAAAAGCATACGGCTTCTTGATGCGCGTCCCTACTGTACAACGCTTGTGCTCAGCACGTCCTCATTCGCCCCCGCGAGTGGGGGGCGTAGGTGGATCTCCCCTCCCCGTCTGGCCCCCAGAGGGCTTTCGGATGTGTTCCCAAGTTTTCGAAGGTTTTCGGGTCCAGGGACGCTTCCCATCAGATGCGCCTCGTCACTGGCACTCTCAGGATGAGGGGGATCTTCCCTGACGGCCGCGTGGGGCCCGAGTTGTCGCCCGCAAGCGGCCCGAAAGCAATCGTGACAACGACGGCCCTCCCTGGCATTTGTCATTTTGTTTGGGGGGGGCCCCAGAAGACTCCATCCCGCCGCAGCCGCTCCGCTGACGCGCATCCAGCGGTGCAGCGAGTCGGCCGTCCTGCACCTCCTTGTCCTGCTTCTCCCGCGCCTGCGCGTCCGAGCTGCCCGCCTGGTGCTCCTTGCGCTGCTTCTTCGCCTTCGCGTCCTTGGAGCGTGGCGCCCAGGAGAGGCCCAGTCCAGCTGGGCACGAAAACACACACACACACGCGCGCGCGCACGCACGCACGCACGCACGCACACGCACACGCACACGCACACGCACACGCACACGCACACGCACACGCACACGCACACGCACGCGCACGCACACACACACACACACACACACACACACACACACACACACACACACACACACACACACACACACGCGCGCGCGCGCGCACACACACACACACACACACACACACACACACACACACACACACACACACACACACAAAAACAAAACCACACACACGCACCAGACGGATCCCCGTGGCTCCAGCCAGCCTTGCCCACACTGCACTCAGCGGCACCCGAGATGGGGCTTTTAAGCCCAACCAGACGCCCACCGGGTGGAGCCACTTGGCTCTGGACTTGCTCCAGCTGTACACGGCGTCGCCCGGGGATCTGGCCCGTGGGCTGGCGTCCAGCTGGGGATCCGGCTGTGCGGCGTAAGGAAGGAGCAATGATCATGAAACGCAGGGGCGTTTCAAGCCACGGCGAGCCTGCGTCACCAACAGGTCCCCCGAACCAGACCAAAAGAACGGCCCTGAGACCAAAAAGATACATACTTCAACGCCTGAACTGTAGAGCATGGACCGTGAACATCGGGTCGGGAAACCGGATCGAAGCGGAACGTGCGTCAGATAGGGCTGCACCGATGCGGAGTCGACGTCGAATCGGACAGGCTGCGCCAGGGCACACAACAACGTCACGCAAACAGACATCGTCGGCATATCGGAACATAATCAGGGCGAGCCATTCAGAGTCGATGTCGAATCGGATCCATCGTGCCGAAATGGACTCTGCAGGGGGCGGGGTTGACAGCGCGCACTAATCGAGGGCGAAGGCTTCTTAGAAGGAGGCTGCTTCTTAGCAGGCGCCAGCCCTTACATCTATGGATAAGGTCGGCGCCCTCGAAGAAGCAGGTGCTTCTGAGAAGCCGTTCCCCCTCCCCCCCCCACCCCCCTCTGCGCGTGACTCTACGTGGGCCTTGCCGAAAGCGGGGGGGGCTCGCCACCGGGGCCGGCAAGCCTTGGAGCAGAAATTGCGGAGGCGCTCAACGCCCGGGGGCATCGGGAGGCAAACGGCGCGACGGCTGCGGGCACAGCGGGCAGAAGCGTGACCGAGCGGGGCGGGGCGGGAAGGGCGGGGCCAAGTGACTGAGAGAGGTGCCTCGCCCTCAGAGTTGGCGGAGCACACGACGTAGGGGGGGGGGAGGGAGGGAGCACGACCTCCCAAGGCGGGGGGGGGGCGTCTTAGGAGGCCAGTGGGGGCCTTCTCGGAGACGCCTGGATGGGTGCTGCCAACAGGGCCTCCTAGAAGATGGGTGGGCTTCTGGGCAGCCGCCTGCCTTCTCAGAAGCCCCCCCCCCCCTGATGGGAGAGAAACGCACGGATACCCCCACTCCCCCCAGACCTCCCCAGGGGTGCGTGCTGACCAGGATTTCGAAGCAACTCCAGCCGTGGAGAGGGCAGGTCGGCGGCCGTCGGCATCTCCTCCTCCTCTGAACCCTCGTTGGGCCGCCCCCCTCGCGCCCCTCCCCTGCGCTCGCCGTCAGCAGAGGCGTGCTGCGGGCGGCAGGCGTCGCAGCTGTGAGCGGCGTGCCCCCGCACGCCAGCGAGCGCGGCGACGGAGGGGCGTGGTCCCCGTCGATGGCACGGGCGGTGGAGGGGGCCCCGCGGCGAGGCGGTGCTGGAGCTCGACCGCCTACACGCAGGCGTGAGCGACCCTGGGCGACAGCGATCTTCGGCGCGCGGCTTCATGGGGGGTGCCAAGAGGGGGGCGCCCAAGAGGGGGGGGGTGCAAAGCATGACCGGCGGCATGTGCGCGGCCCCGCGGGGGGGGCAGGAACGCCACGGAACAAGAAGAGGCGCCACGAACTCTGGGGAAATATCGTGGCCCACGCCATGATATCCACCCCCCCCAAGTCATCACCCCCCGCTTTGCCGCCCCCGAGCTCCAGGGGGGTGCGGGGCGCTTCGAACCGGGGCAAACGAGCCGCTGCGGACGCATCGTGTCCCACGACTCGGGGGGCCCAGGTGGCCCACGCAGCCAGAGGGCGCTCGGGCGAGGGGCCCCCCTCTTCACTCGAGGGGCCCAAGGGCACACAAATAGATACACACACACACAAAGAACGAGATGCCCCATATGTTTCCCATATTTGCTGGGTTTTCGTCTTCCCCCCCACTTCCAGTATTTTCCCATATTTTCCTGGGAATCGACGATTAATTGTGCTTGTGTGTGTGTGCGGTTTTTCCCTCCTGATTTACGTGTAGCCGAAGCTCGAACTCGCGCGCGCTGGTCTGGCTGAGACGGGCTCGCGCGTGCATGTGTTCGATCAGCATCCACCTTACTAGGGAAACGAACTCTATACACCGACGCTTTTCCCGACCCTGCGCTGAAATTCGCACAGGAAGGCGGATTCTGGTGTATACGGGATCCTGGTGTATAAATGTTTCGTTGTTTTCCCGGGACATCGGGGAAAAAAGTATACACCACACCACCCCAGCGTTGTCCCCGACCCTCGAAAAGTCCTAGGATTCAGGAAGCAGCCCGCCACTGGTAACGTATACATTCCAATTTCCAACTTACGGTGAGCAGGCAGCGCGGGCTCGGTGCGGCGTCTGGGCTGCGAAGCCTGGCCACCGTCGGAGAGGCAAGGCCGGCTGGGGCCTCCTGAATTGCATGCGAGGCACCCTGGATCCTGCGGGGGATGAGTGTCGACTCGCCGGTCTGTGACATTCGACGCGGAGATCGACCAACAATCATGATCTGACGATGGGGCCAAGCTGGATATGACTATCAACAAATATGCAGACAGTGCACCGCCATTGCGAGAACACGTAGCCGTCCTAGCAAATGAAAAGGATGCCGACTCTGCCGCCATTTTCGGCATCAATTGGCAACTGGTTGAAAGAACGAGCTCGGTCATTGGCTCGAGCTGGAAAAGGTCTTTCATTTTGCGCCGATAACTTCGTGATTCGGTTGTCAGGGTTGTGATCTTGCGGTCACGGACATACATGGCGATGCGCCAGTCGGCTTGGGAACGGAGAGTGCAAAGGCAGCCTCGCTCTCACTCTCTCTCTCTCTTTCTCTGCAGGGGATGCCCGACTCAGGGGATCTGGTACGAGAAGTGTAAATACGAAGAGACGGTGGCAACACCAGCTCAAAGCATCCTCGAGGACATCGAGCTCCGACGCCTGCGGGGGGGAGCGCTTGATAACTGTGCATGCTATGGATAGCCACTATTTCGCCGCTTCGATATACCCGCCCGTTCCCACTCCCATGAAAGTGGCTCTCTACGCTTGCTTAGCGAATCACTGACACAATCGCTGGGGAACATACCCTCATGCCCTGGTATCTTAGACACGCCATCCTAACACGATTCGAAGCAACCAGTGCACGATACCACGCCCATTATCGTTGTGTTCCAGTTTCCCCGAGCTGGCATACCATGGGCGCAGTCCCTCACAGTCAAGACAAGATGTGATCGCCCCAGGGGGCAGACTCTGACGCCAAGCCGCCATGAGCCAATCCTGCACTCCGGCTTATGGTGAGTAGGCCATGCAAGCATAATCGCAGCAGGTTAGGCACCTTCTGAATGGCCTCGATGTATGATTTATCCTCTGCCTCCTTCGCGTCCTCCCCCCACCCACGGCGCATAACGAAAAGGCTCACTTCGGAGTGACCGAACTGTCGCGTCATACATTCGCCACCTGCGTAGGGAAAGAGAGACCTGCAAATACAAATGGCACGTGCGTGCCAAGGCTCAAACACATCTCGAGGGGTACGAACCCTCTTGATAATATGTTGTCAAACTTGCCCCTCGCCGGTTCCTTGTCCTGGCGGAGGCTTTCTCCTCCTCCTCCTCCTCCTCCTCCTCCTCCTCCTCCTCCTCCTCCAACTCCTCTGTCGTCCTCCTCCTCGGCCTCCTCCTCCTCCTTTGGTTGGACCTCCTCCTCATCCTCCTCGTCGCCCCTTCCCCCCTCCTCCTCCTTCTCCTCCTCCTCCTCCTCCTCCTCCTGTTCCTCCTTTTCCCCCTCCTCTTCCCGCTCCTCCTCCTTCTCAGTCTCCTTGTCCTCCTCCCGCCTCCTCCCTTCATGCACCTCCCCTTGCATCTGGCCAAGGCACGCATATCGACTTTCCTTGGCGCCGTCGCCGCTTCGGCCAGCACGGGCGTGTTCTCCAATGGCCAGATCGCGAAGCTGTGGGGACAACCTCAAGGGCCAGGCCATTGGGACAACCCCGCGGGGCCTCCAAGACGGACACCTTGGGGGCCAAGATGGCCCCCAAGATGCCTCCAAGACGGCCAAGAAGGCCTCCAAGACAGCGAAGATGGCCCAAAGATGCACCCAAGTCGGTTCCATATGGTTTCCAAATGGCACTCGGGTGCCCAAAAGGCCCGCAAGACGCTTCCAAGACGGGCCAGGAGTCCTCCAAGACGTATTCCAGGAAGGCCCGAAAAGGGTCACAATCATTGATTTTCCTATGGTTTTGAAGGATTTTGGCAATTCCTTCTTATCAATTCTCCGACGGCCCAAGACGGCCCAAGAGGCCCCAAACATCGTCCCAAAAGCGCCCAAGAGGCCTCCAAGATGGCGCCATGACAGCCCAAGAGGCCCCAAAAAGGGCCCCAAGAGGAGCCCCAGATGGCCTTCGAGTCGCCCAAGATGGCCCAAGATGGTATCCAAGTCCGGCAAAGATGGTCCAAGATGGCCTCCAAGACGGCCCGAGAGTCCAAGATGCCTTCAAGTTCGTCCAAGAAGCCTCCAAGTCGGCCCAAGATGGCTCCATCTTCGATCCGCCGCCCCCTGTTGAATTACCACAGGGGTGCCTGGCGTGCCAGATTTCTTGGGGATTGTGGTTCTTTTCAAGACTCCCCCCTGGGATTTCGGCCAGACACAGGGCGGGGTGGTTGGCAAGAATTGGCCCCCTCCGGATGGCTCCAAGATGCCCCAAGATAGCCTCCCAGACGGCCAAGATGGCCTCCAGTCTCGCCCAAGATGGTCCAAGATGGCCTCCAAGACAGCCTAAGAGAGCCCAAGATGCTTCCAAGTTCGCCCAAGAAGCCTCCGAGACTGCCCAATAGGTCTCCAAGAGGTCCTCCTGCAGGGCCCGAAGAGACAAAAATCACTGATGTTCCTTAGGTTGTTGTAGGATTTTGCCCTTTGCCTCTTCTCGGACTTCCGACGGCCCAAGACGGCCCCAGAGGTCCCCAAGATCGCCCCACGATGGCGCCAAATGCCTTCAAGACGACCCCAGGACGGCCCCAGAGGCTCCAAAGACGGCCCCAGGAGGACCTGAAGACGGCCCAAGAGGCCTCCAAGACGCCCAAGATGGTCCCCAAGACGGCCCTGAAGCGCCCCGAGAGGACCCCAAGTCGGTCCAGAGAGGCCTCCAAGGCGGCTTCGGACGAGAGGAGCGCCCTAAGACGCCCCAAGAGGCCCCCGAGAAGCCCCGAAAGACCCCAAGATCAAAGAGGCCCAAGGAGGCTTCCAGGAGGCCTCCGAGAGCGCAGGAAGCTGCAACGAGGCCCCATATGTCCTCCTCCTCCTCCTCCGCCTCCTCCGCCTCCTCCTCCTCCTCCTCCTCCTCCTCCTCTTCCTCCTCCTCTTCCTCACCTCATCCTCCTCCTCATCCTCCTCCTCCTCCTCTTCCTCCTCCTCTCCATGTGTTCTCCCTCTCCTCCGCATCTTCTTTCTCCTCCGCGTGTGCCCCGAAAGGTACTAACAACGGCTGGGGGAACACATGGTCCGATAGCTTGGCAGCGCTTTGGCCACAACGTTCGGCCACATGGGCGATTCCGAAACAGCAGGATGCGGCGATGATCGCCGTAGGCGTCTTCGATATGTGGGCAGACTTTGATGCATCTATTAGTCTGCAGAGAGAGAGGGAAAGAGAGAGCAAACACACATAAACCAAAGACGTGCCATTCCTTGGGTGAGCCCGCAATCGCAGAACGCGTTTCTCCTTCATCCGTCCCTCCGTGAACAGGCCAAAACATTCGGGTAATCGCCTGTGCATGTCAACACGCATCAAGCTCGCACCGTCACCGGCATGACACGCGTTTCGATACCACGTCGTCTTCGCCTCAAGAATCAAGCGGGTTGTCTCATCGGCACGCGGCAGCCGAGCGTCGTGGAGTCAGCCGAGAGGCCCCTCGGGCACGCACTAATCTGTGGTCCCTCGCTCGCCTGTCGCGCCTAACTCATCTCGTCCCTGGCCCCGCTCGCGAATTGCTGTCGGGGCGCGGGGCGCGGCGGCGGCCCCCGCGTCACGCCATGCCCTGGGAGCGGATGGCGTGCCGCTCCGCGCCGCGGGCGAGGAGGCTGCGAAAAAAGCTCTGGACGTCGACGCTTGGGAATGGGAATGTGTCTGCGGTGGACAAACCTCCCTTTCGTAAACCTCCCCTTAGTGAAAACGGCCTGGAACCGAAACCGACGGACCCGGACCCGCAAAAAGGACGGCCACGACGCCCTCTCGCGAGCCGAAAACGGCCAATTCCTGAATCGACGTGTCAGGGTAGGAGGCCTATCCACCTCCGCATGTGGGTATAGCGTCGCGCCGAGGCGCAGTGGGCCAGAACCGCCGGAGCGCACGGCAAGGGGCAGGGAGGGTCGAGGCTGCCTCCGAAATCTTGGGGCATGGCTCTCGAGCATGAGATCATCGCGCCCCCATAGAGAGAACAGAGCGAGAGGGGCGGGAGGACGATACGAGGGAGCAGGATAGACAAAACAATACGAGGAGGAGGAGCAGGAGAAAGAGGTGGGGGACGACGACGAAAGCGACGAGGAAGAGATGGAGGAGGAGGAGGAGGAGGAGGAGGAGGAGGAGGAGGAGGAGGAGGAGGACGACGATAATGAGGAGCAGGTGAGGAGGACGAGAAGAAATATGAGGAGAGGAAGCTTGAGAACTGGAAGCACCCTGTGCTGCGAGAGCTGAAGTGCACGACGCGCCACGCCCTCGTAAACGCTCGGCCACCTTAGCTCCCTCCTCTGCGGACGGCGCGACAGCTGGCCTTGCTGTCGTCGGTGCTCAGGAGGCTGGAGGCCAAGAACTCCCGCGACACTGCGAGCTTGGCCTTCAGCGTCGACAGCTCCACCTCGGGCGCCGCGCGTCCGGGCAGGGGGAGACCCTCGCTGCAACGGCCCCCACCGACCAGTCCGACGGTCATGGCCGAGAGGGGGCACCGCCTCTGGGCATGCTGGGAGGCAGGTCAGAAGAGCCTCCCATACCATCTTGCTGGCCCGTGCGAGTCGACGATCGCCGACGCTAGTTGACGCTGAATTGGCGCCAACCGACGCCGATCGACACTGATCGACGCTAAATCGGCGCTGTATCTCCGACGACCAGGCTGCAGGCGAAGCGACTGCGCTCTCTAGAGACGTAAGGGCGAGCAGGCGAGGCTCCACGGTTTACCACCGAAGATGATGGCCGACGGAACACCTTCTCTGGGCTTGGCCTCGCGACCGACTCCTGGGAAACCCAAGAGTACCGATGCCGCTACTCCGCGGACTTCTCCGCGGGCGCGCTCGGACCAGGGCGAATCCCACGGTAGCGACGAGGACCTCTCAGGAGACCCCACGGGGCGAAAACGAGGCTGGGGCAGCTGCACCGGTAACACTTCAAGGTCTTTAGAACGCCTCCCAATAGGGTGTAACCCATCATTTGTTCGGTGGCCTTATTGGAGGACTGGGGTCCCACCAAATGGGGGCAACAAATTATTGTTGCCCGCAGCACCCGCCGCGCAATAAGAAGGGGGAGGCGGAGGAGGATAAGGAGGAGAGGGAGGAGGAAGGAGGAGGAGGAGGAGGAGGAGGAGGAGGCGGCGGAGGGGGAGGGGGAGGGGGAGGACGAGGAGGAGGACGACGAGGAGGAGGAGGAGGAGGGGCAGGGGGAGGAGGAGGTGTTAAGACCAGTCCTAGTAACCGCCGAGAGAACGGGGGGGGGAACAAACGAACCTCGGGCCTGAAAAGACCATCCCGGGCCGCTCTGTGCTTCGAGGCTCGGATGGACCCTTCTGCATGGGCACTCGGCCTCGCTGCTGGCGAGACACGGGGCGCAAAAAGACACACCGCTCGGCCACGCGAAGAGGGGGGTGGGGAGAGGGGAGAGGGCTTCTTAGAAGCACAGGAGGCGCGCGCGGGCCTTGTCTGTACATGTAAGGCCCGCGTCTTCTAAGAAGCAGCCCCATTCTAAGAAGCCTCCCCCCTCTCCCTGACCCCTTGCGCGCGCCGCAGAAACCGCGGCTTCGCGTCGTGTCGACCCCAGCGTTGGCTCCTGACACCGCAAGGATCGTTCAGCCTTGAAGGATCGGCCGTTTCCGAAACGTCAGATCACTCAAGATCGGCCGATTCTGGGTCGCCAGAGGCGTTCAACGGTGAACGCCCGCGGCTTGATGTTTGGGGCGCACGTCCGAGATCCGAACACTTAGCACAACATCTTGGAAGTAGATCGTTTCCCGAACGGTATGGCCAGAAAGCGCCCGTCAAGGGGCATATGATATAAGCTGTCTTGGCGCGCGCGTCGCCCCATAGGGGGGGACGCACACATCGTCTTTGTGTGCTTGGGTGACGCCGAACGAACTATACTGTTGCCACTGCTTCGACCGCAGGCGACATGCGCTGCAGCAGTGCCACCAAACAACGCTGGTCCCCAACTGGGGAGGCCAAAAGGTACCCATACCGCTACTCCAGGGAGCTCTCCCAGGGAGCGGTGTGACCAGAAATTCGACGCGCAGCGGTGGCGACGAGGGCCCAGGAGGCCCAAGAGTGGGAAAACGAGGCCAAGGTAAGGGTGTGGGTACCTCTTCGTCCTCTGACAGGCTGCCTGCAGAAAGCGAGCCCCTCAGATGTGCACCACGTCCAGACTGCCAGCCGAGTGGTAAGCTGTGCGGCCGGGCGCTATAAAAAATCCACCGGTGCCCCGTGGCGCAGAGACCGCTCGGGTGTTGCTGAAGTGCCCCTGGCCCAAGGTGCCCCCAGGATTTCCCAAAGAGGCCCCCACGGCCTCCAGAGCACCACTCACGAGGCCCGGAGGGCCCCAGGAGCTCCAAAATCAAGCGAAAATCTGTTCAATCTGTTCAAGCGATCATCTGTTCAACCCTTGGACCAGGCGTACCTTTAGCAACCCCCGGACCTCTGTTCAACGTGTATTGCCGCTGGCTCGTCACCAGGACGCTGGAAAACCAACCTCGGACAGATGAGAACGTGAGCGGACACACTCTCTGGAAGCAATGACGCAGGTGAAACACTACTTTTGCAAATAAGGCACTGGGGGCGTAGGCAGTAGGCGACGTGGAGTACGAACCCATCCGCCCGAGAAAACTCAAAGAGGCCTTCTTGGGGCTCCGAAAAGGACTCCTCAGTTGAGTTCTCGCCATTGTTCGACCGACTGCCTCCAAGATGGACGCCACAGCGCCACAAACTTCCCCCCGCCCGGGGAGGCCGGGCGGGGCTAACACAGGAGGGGGATGAGGAGAAGGCGGAAGCGGAGGAATCAGGGAGCGAAGAATGGCATAAACAATAGAACTCGGAGGTCCGGGCGGATTTCTCGGATCTGCGCTGGACCCCCCTGGCGGCGCCTCCGGCGCCACCCCTGGCGCGCTCGGCCAGGGATGGGGGTCCAGCGCCGACCCGAGAAATCCGCGCGGACCTCCGAAGATCTTATGATTATGTCATCCCTCGTTCCCGTAAGGAGGAGAAGGAGGAGGAGGAGGAGGAGGAGGAGGACGAGGGCAAGCTTCCAGAAGCTCTCGGGTTGGCCATCGTTGGGAGCTGCCTGGGCTGAGTCTCCCGCTCCTGTGTCTGACCATGTGCAGCCCCCCTGTGGCCGGATCCTGGGCATGCTCGGACGGATCCCGGGCCCCAACTTCAGTGAACGTTTTCTTCTTCGGCGTTTCGACATTGGGTTGTGAAGGGGGGGGGGGGGAGAGGGGGGGTCTGGTTCCAGACTCCTGCTGAATGCGACTGTTTGCAGCAGTGCGTCCTCTGTGGGGAGGATCCACCTGCTCGAAAGAGGAGCCCAATTCCAGCTAAGATCTACTCCATGGGAGGGGGGGAGGAGGGGGGCTGCGAAGGCCCGCGCCGATCGGCAAACAATGAATAAGAACACGATCGCATAAGATATGAATCGAAACTTGTTTTTCCATAGGCACGGGCCTCTCCAGCACTACTGAATGGCAACTGGGCAATGGCTGTGCTGGACTGCTGGGCCTATCGGGCGATGACAGCTGTTCCGGCCCCCCCTCTTTGTTCCAGTCGATACGGCTACACATCCCTGCTCAGGGCAAATCGCTAGGGAATCGGCTCTGGACGCGTTCGTGGGGAATCAAGGGGAATCACCAACAAATGCTACATGATGATGGCGCTTAGGCAGAGTGCGCTCGCAAAGCCATCACCGCTGCAGACCAGGCCCTATCGAGAGCATGGGGATTCCGAAAGGCGAGGGTGTTCGATTATGCTGCGCCCTGTGCACCGTAGAGACTGCATACTGTACTACATACTCCTCTCTCGACTACAGCTCGGATATTGCCCTCTTGGAACGATCATGCGCGTGCGAGATGCGGGAGACGTGGAAATGCCCTCGGGACCCCTTGCACTGCGGACCCTCATCATGTGGTTGGTGGACTGCAACTCCTTCGCGTGCTTCTCCGTCTCCATGTTGGTCTTCTTTAAATTCCCGATCTCCTGTCCGATGGAACAACAATGCAATGAGAAAACTGGAACACACACAAACATAATCCAGAAAAGGGCCGTCGTGAAGAATCCGCCGGGCGCGCTGAGTGGGCAGGCCCTTCACGCCAAACCCCGGGTTCATCTGGTTTCTGTGCTCGCCTGTCCCACTCCTGCTCCGACGCCTTCTCGCCCTGGCCCCCCCTCTCGTCTTTCTCGTTTCGTCCCTCCCTCCTCCGACATGTCCCCTTTTAACCAGCCTCGAACTTGTCCCTATCCCTAAGATGGGCGAGCAAAAAGCGAGGACAATCTTTGGGCTGTGCCCTCAGAAACCGAGGGACGCCTCAAGATCAGCATCGAGGTGAGGTGATGCCAAACACAGGGATAGGGATATGCTTCAAATTGGAACCCTTCTCCTTCTACCCTCCCCCACATCCTGGTTCCCCCCACCTTCACCCTCCATTCTCCTCCCGGCTCGAGGCTGCAGGTCTCCCCCCTCCCCCCCCCTCATCCTCTCCCGCACCGCCTCCCGTCATCGTCGTCCTCCCGCGAGGAGGGATGCATTGTCCCCTCCTCCCCCATGAGCATTCTTATTGTCGTTACCATGCGTCTTCTTCCCCTCCCTCATCACATTTCCTCCCGTCTCTCCCCCTTCCATCCCTGACACCCTTTTCTCCACCCCTTCTCGATCGGGGAGACGCGAGACTAGAGGACTGGGGACTCGAATGTGTCTGAGGGGGCCATCAAAAACTAATGGGACCCGGTCTGAAAATTAGCGCGGGCTCTCGCTGCAAGAATCGCACCAAAACAACTCCGTCAAGACTCACTCTTGGATCCTCCCGTTCCTCCTCCTGCATCCGTCCTCTCCAGGCCATTGCCCCCCTGGGGGTCGGCCACAGGCTCCTGCGATATGCCAGTGTTGACGGTGTCGATCTCTTTGTTCTCCTGGTGGGCGGAAGAGACAATCCCGCAGCAGACGGCGAAGACAGATGATACATTGGAGGACGAAAACACTAGCCGAGGCATCCAGAGACAGGCTGCTTCCCCGCAAGTGCCCGCGCCCTCACCTCCTCCTCGAGCTCATGCTCGTCCGAACCACACGTGATTCCCTAGGACAAGATACTGGGTATATGTATATATATATATATATACATACACACGCGTAGAAAGGCAAAAGTATGTTCGAGTGAGGGGCCGGGGCCGAACGGTCTTACCCCATCCCTGAGGGCGTGACGGTGCGGATTCTGCTTGAGGTTGTTACGCTAGCGATCTTGTTGTCGTCGTCGTCGTCGTCGTCGCCCGCGACCCGCCCCAGGACACACCGACGACCAACCCCGCGACCCACCCGCGCCCCACCCCGCGAGCCCCGCGACCCTTCTGCGACCAACCCGCGACCCCCCCACGCTGCTTCGACGAAAAGATCGGCGCCTGCGGCGGGCCAGCTGTGGGATGTGTCAAACACCAGCGCCCGCGTCGGTCATCTTCAAAGCTTCGCAGACTGCTGAGGACTCCGTCGCACCCCCACTTTCATGGTATAAGCCAATAATATATATCTATATAAATATACATACACGCATACATACACAGATACATCATATACATAGTATACATCACCTATATATATGTATATAAATAGATAGATGCACGCCTACGCACGTGAATACAAACACGATTGTCCTCAGGCAAGTCTTGGGGCTTGTACCTCCCTTCTCGAAGAATCGGGCCCGACCGCGGCCCCGTAGGCCCCGTTCCCGTCGATCGCCGCCACAATCGTCTTCCCAGAAGGCCCGTCGGCGGGCCCGGCTGCCCTGTTCCCGTCCGTCGCGGCACCACGTGGCTTGCACGAAGCATCGAGCACCACGTACTCCACGCATGCTGCGCCATCAGGCTTGCACCATATAGATTTCACCACATAGCTTGCACCGCACAGCTCCCACCACATGCCTCACATCGCACAGCTTGCACAACATAGCAAGCACGACATATAGTACGCCGCGTAGCTCCCACAATCTATATATTGCACCACATAGCTTACACCACAAGGCTCACACAACACATATAACACAACAGAGCAACATAGCTCCAACGGTGTAGCTTACACCACAAAGCGTTCGCCTCCAAGGTGCAAGAACTTACTGGTTGAGGTCCATGCTGGATCGAATTCGTGCGCATACAAAGCCCCGATCGATCAAAACGGGAACCGCCAATGTTGTGCAGTTAGCTCGTGGGCGGAAAAGCGAAAGAAAGGGATGCTCGCGACGACAAGGCGGATGACGTGGATGACAGCGTGGATGACGGGGAGGGCAGCCATGGAGCGGGAGGACCACGAGCAGGAAAACAACCACGAAGTCGAGGAAGACATGGAGGAAGACGGGTACGAGGAGGAATGAGGCGGTGAACAGGCGAGGAAAAAGGCGTCGAAGAAAAGGGGATACTTACAATCTTTGAGGCTACCCTGGAGGGGGGAGTTGTTGGGACCGTCCGAGGTTATCTTGGGGCGTCCTGGGGGCCGTTGGAGGCCTGTAGGGGTCTTCTTGGGGGCCACTGGGGTCTTCTTGAAGTACCTGGGCGCCGTGCTGGTCTGGGTGTGGTCTGCCTCGCTGGTATGGTATGGTATGGCAGGGCTTGAAAGGCAAGAGAGGAGGGGGGCGATAGCTCGACCAAATGGGGCGGCCACTTTGGCCAGGGGTGGGCAGATGCGGGTCAGCCGAAAAGCATGACCAGGAGCCCAAACGCAAAGCAGCCAAGCCCCCCCAACCCTCAGGCAGTACATAAAACGAGCGGCCCCAGAACTCGCCGCGAGCTCACTGCCGACAACAACCTCGGAACCTGACCCGAACGCAGGAGCCCAACCCTGCATCCGGGCACATACGCATGCAAATACAGGAGGCCACACACACAGGATGCAGATTCCGCTGAGGCCAGCGTACGCCCTCCTGTGGGGCGCCACCCCAGAGTTCGAGCGGCCGTCGGTTTCGCACTGGCCTGCTGCTGCTCACCCACATCTAGCAGCGGCTGCTGCCAAGGTCCCGCCAACGGCGGCACGCTCTCCGCTCCGCACGCCGCACGCGCATTGAAGGCCCGCTGGCACCTCGGCCACTGCCCTCGCTGCTGGCTTCGCTTTCCCCGCGACACCGCAGGCTGCGGCGCGCACGTCTGCCCTCTTGGCTGCGGGCCGCCGCCGCTACCCCGTCGGCCAGCTCGGCCTCGTCGACTCCGTGCGCGGCGAGGTGGCCAGAGCAGCGCCTTGCCGCGGGCACCTTGGCGCCGCTCGAGGAGGGGGGCCCGTGGCGCCTCCGCCGCGGCGCCGCTCGGGCAAGCACGCCGCTGGCCCGCCGTGGGGCCTCCTGCCCCACCGTGCTGGCAGCCGCCCTCGGAGGCGCCGTCCTCGTCGCCCTGGAGGCCGATCCAGGCCAGGTCGCGCAGGCGCGCGTCTTCGGGAGAGGTCACCAAGTCACTACCTCGCGGGGCTCGCGCACGTCCTGGCCCCGCTGCCCCTGCCGCGCCTGCAGGGGGGGGGCCTCCAGGGGCCGGCCCCCGCTCCCGGAGGCGCCGCTGGGCAGACCAGGCCTTGAATGCCGCGGCCCGCGCGTGCCCGGCACACCGGCTCTTCGGCCTTCGGCTGAGCTCCACTGCGCCCCCCCAGTCGCACGAGGGCCCCGCAGTCGCTGCACGCAGTGACCTCCTCTTCGTCGTCGCCTTGGCCGCTGCGGGGCGCAGGCGGACGCGTGGCCGAGGATGGCGAACGCTGCCGCGCTCACCGCCACCCCGCTGGCCGCCGCGGACGAACGGACGCCGTCGAGCCGCCTGCGATTGGCCCTGTGCTCGGGCGGTCTGCCGCACGTCTGTGGTCAGTCGTGCTTGTCGTCGGTGCGCATGTGGTCTGCCGTGATCCTGGGGCATGGAATGCCATGAGAGGCCATCTAAGCAAAACAACGGCATGAGCACGGTAGCCCTTCCAACCAGAACAACATAGGGGGGAAACGCTTGCGAGAAACGCAATCCTGAAACTACGAACGCGAGCTGCACATGGGAGGAGACCCAACACATCCTAAACGCTTCAAATCCCACCAGCCCTCTGGGCGTCGGTGGTTTAGGACGTTTCCTCGTCCACCCCTCGTTCTCCCTTTCGGGGAGGGGTTCACCCCTCCCCCTACCCCCCCCCCCCCTGGACCTGGACAAGGAGTTTCGCGAGTCGTCGGAGCGTCCAAAACGGCCTCGGCGAGGAAGCCGAACTCATTGATTTTACTATGGTTTTGGCACCCTTTTGGCCTCCTGAGGGGGGGGGGCTGTAATTCGTAACCCCCCTTCCTGTGATCGATCTCACCTAAGATGGCTCAAAAATGGCCCCTAAGGCTCCCAAGGGTGCCCCAAGAGGGCCGCAAGAGATGGCCAGGACGCCCCAAGAGGCCCCCAGGATGCCCCCAAGAGGCTCCCAAGAGACCCCCAAGAGGCCCCAAGAGACCCCCCAGAGGCACCCACTTTGCTCCAAGAGGCCTCGGCGAGAATGCCAAATCATTGATTTTACTAAGGTGTTCGCCACATGTTGGCCTCTTAGGGGGCACTGATTCAGATGACTCCAAGAGCGCCTAGGAGAGCCGACGATGACCTCCAAGATGGCTCCAGATATCCCAAGAAGTCTCAGAATGGCTTCCTCTGTGTGCTGCCCACTTCCCTGATCGAGGCAATTCCTCTGGGCATCGTTTCTGGATGGGCTGGTGGGGATTCGCAAAGCGTCAACAATTCTTACCGTCCTATGGGTAGGTTCCACACGCCGCGAAGCACTGCCAGGCAGCTGCCCATCCTGTTGGACATCTGCCCAGGACAGCAGGGCGTCGGCCAGTCGACGCAGGGCAAGGGGACGGAGACGGGAGGAGAATCATGCAGGAGGGGACGGCAGGGAGCAGAGGCGGAAGAGACAGGTGGAGGAGGGCCAGGATGAGGAGAGGAGAGGAGAGGGAGGGAGCACGAGGGGTGATGAGAAGAGGCATCGGCCAAGAGCCAACCTGGTGCTGTTCTAGCCCCGAACCAAAGGCTTCGAGGTCAGAGGCCTCATCGAAATCCTCGGCGTCCGCATCACGCTCGAGCAGGTTCGCGCCCAAGGCCGAAACGGCAGAGAGCCTATCCTCGTCCGGACCGAACGCCCGCAATACAACGACTCGGGACCCCAAGCCCCCCCACGAGCTCACGCCCCGCAACTGGAGGGAGCAAGAGTAGGAGGGTGACTGGCCAGAGGAGGGGTTGACACCCACACTGTCACACTGGCTGAGGTGGGTGGCATATGGTAAAGCCACTTGCGATCTTGGAGCTGCTTGACTCATGGTTCACGCATGTAGCTCCAATGCTGGATCGTAAATCGCAGCGCTCTGAATTACCATCTAATAGCTTCGCTTCAACAACATCTAGATATTGACCCGCACCCGGTCTGTAATTCCCAAACGGCCCCTGGGTTGTTAAGTGATTCGAGCCGGGGTCAATCTGGATAGGCCAAATGAAACTCAAGGCCAATTACCTAGTATGACATCGCAATGGTGTGAACCACGACGCAAACACATCTGCACCTGGGGAAATCGAGTAAACGCGGCAATCGCGTCGAAGGAAACCCCTTCCCTTGAATCCCTTCCCCTCCCTCGGGGTGGCGTCTTGGGAGGTGAGGTGGAGGGTCTCGGGGGGAAGCCTTCCCTTGACTTCCTACATGGCACACCCAGGGCTGCCATTAAGCGTGGCTCAGGATCCTAAGCTCCATAATGCCCTGAGATGTTCCCAGGAGGCTGTTCTGGAGCAGCCTGGAGGGTCGCATGGACCAAGGAGGCCCGCGGGGGCCAGCCCAAGAAGCCCGAATCGTTCAAAAGCAATGGAGGTCGATTTGACTGAGGCATTCTCCCACGTTCGACCATAATTCAGAGCGTCCAAGACGGGCCAAGAGGCCGCCAAGGTCGCCCCAAGATGGTTCCCGAGGCCCCCAAGGGTGCCCAAGATGCCTACACGGCGGCCCGAAGAGGTCTGCCAAAAAAGGTGCGCGCCACTGCGAGACCGCTCAAAGCCTGTGCTTCCAAATTGGCCAGTACCCCACCCGGAGACATCCACCAGACTTCAAAGAGGCCCCCCCGAGGGGCCTCCGAGAGACTCCAAGAGGCCCCCCCCGAGAGGCTCCCAAGAGCCCCCCTGGACACCCCGAAGAGTCGACCCAAGAAACGCCCGAAAGGTGTCCAAATGGCGTCTGGTCCACGAGCCAGGCAAAGGGCGCGATGAGCCGAATGTTACCAGGTGCGCCTCCCTCTGTTGCTTGCAGAAGGAGGCGTGGCAAGCCATACTTTCGAATACTTTGCATGGCCTCCAATACGGTCCCAAGACGCCCCAAAGACGGGGCCACAATATAGCCCAAGATGGTCCCAGGATACCTCGAAGTCATGATGGTCCCAATGCGCCCCCAGTTGCGCCCAGACGTCCCAAGAGGCACTCAAGACACTCACTAGGGCTACATGAGGACCTCCGGGAGGCAAACTCATGGATTGCCATCGGTGCTTCACATGGTTTTCGCCTTCGCACCTTCTCGGGCTTCCGAAAGCCCAAGACGGCCTCATACGCCCCCAAGAGGCCGCCGAGGCAAGCCGAGAGTGCTTCAGAATGGCCCAAGAGGCACCCAAGATCGTCCAAAAAGGGCCCCCAAGACAGCTCCGACCCCCCTCGCGGCCCGAGAACGCCACACGAGGGCCCCAGGACAGCCACGCTAAGGCCAAAGAGCTCCGTACAGGCCCACAGAGGGTCCCCCAGAGTGAAGGGGCCCTGGGACACACAAATAAATACACACAAATACAATGATTCCATATTTTCCCGTATTTTCTCTGTTTTTGTCTTCCCCCCCACTTCCCATATTTTCCAATATTTTCTGGGGAACCGACGATTAATTGTGTCTGTGTGTTTTTGTTCCCTCCTGACAGAGGCCCCTGGCACATTCCCATCCTTCTGGAAGGGAACTCCTCGCTGTGCCACCACCGCACGTGCCGGTGGGACGGTCTTGGCGTTTCGCCAGAGGCTCTCTTCCATGTGCGAACCATCGGCGGCTGGCCCAGGGTGGGCGTTGAGAGAGGGCGGGACTTCTCGAACGATTCCAGAAGCCTCGCCTCGGGACTTCTGATAAGGTTCCCTTGCCTTCGTTGAAAGCACAGGAAACTTCTCGGAAGGCGCGAGGAGCTTCTGAGAAGCCCCGCCGCGTTTTGAGAAGGCCTGCCCCCTCTCACTTCCCCGCTGGGCTCGCCGCTGGTACAAGGATGGCGAGCGATGTGCTTTCACCAGTGGCTCTCGCCTCATCGCCGCGCAATCGTCTGAAAGAGCTCGCGGCCGACGCTGGGCTGGCAGGCGGCACCCTCTCGAAGAGGGGCGCTCGCCTCTGCGACCCGCACGTGCGCCGCAAACACTTGCAACTCTTACAAGGATCGAGGACGATGCCGCGCACACTCGCCTGAAAGCACTGCAATGCTTTTGTTCGAACTGTGGGCGTTGCTCGAGCCAGAAGCTCGAACATGATCAGCACCTCCACAGGTAGGAGGGCAGTTCGTGCTCAGAGTGAGACTCTTTCGGTTGGGACCCACCCCCCAAAAAAGGAGGAGGAAGAGGAGGAGGAGGAGGAGGAGGAGGAGGAGGAGGAGGAGGAGGACGAGGACGAGGACGAAGAGGAGGAGAGGAGGAGGAGGAGGAGGGAGGGAGGAGGAGGAGGGGAAGGAGGAGGAGGAGGGAAGGGAAGGGGAAGGGGGAGGAGGAGGGAGGAGAGGAGGAGGAGGAGGAGGAGGAGGAGGAAGGAGGAGGAGGAGGAGGAAGCTTGCCGACCGCGCTTGTAGACGCTGTGCGGCATCTGCACGGAAGGGGAGGGGGGGGGGGGGCGGGGCGCGGCTCCTTCTCCAAAGCCCGGGGCTCTGGCTGGACGCTTCGCCACCCTTCGCGGCCCTGCCCGTTCGAAGGACCCCCTACCTCGCCAGGGGATTCCGGGATTCAGGGGGGGGGGAGGGGGAGGAGGGGGAGGAGGAGGGGGAGGAGGAGGAGGAGGAGCAGGAGGAGGAGGAAGAGGAGGGATGCCAGAGTGGCAAGCCCACGAGGCGCTCGTCCTGCGTAGGGCGGTGTGTGTGAAGGGGGGCTCTGGCCGGGAAAGGGGGGTGTTGCAGCACCGCCTGCGCATCCTGGGTTCACTCTGGTCTCCCTCCTCTTCCTTCTCGCCCTCCTCGGCTAACGCCTCCTCCCCCTCCTGCTCCTCCACGTCGTCCTCCTCCTACTCGTCCTCCTCCTCCTCCGCCTCCTCCTCCTCATCCCTTCCCCTCCTCCTCCTCGACCTACTTCCCTTACTTCTTCGCCACCGCTCTCTCGTCCTCCCCAAGTGTTCCGCTAAAGGCTTTCCACAATGGCAGGTGGATCACATAGTCCAACAGCTTGGCCAATATTTTGCCCAACGGCTGGCCTCATTGGAATTTTCAGAGAAGCGGAGGGGCGTTGACTCGCAATAGGGGTTGTCTTGATTGGAATTTGTTTGTTCGCATCCTGGCAGTGCGAAGCGCAAGACCGTGACTCCCACCAGGAGCGCTAGGCGATCCACGAAAACCTGGTGCCGACTGGATGTAAGAGTACAGAGCGAAACTCTTCGACTAATCGCGTGCGTTCGTGGACCGCTGTCGTGCAGGCGCCAAACGCATGGCAAGAGGCTGAACAGCTATAGACAGAGAGGGTCGCGCTTTGGTATGGAAAGACTATGTCCAGACAGGGTAATCATCTAGCCTAATGGTCGAATGTGCGCAACAAGCTCAGGCGTGAGCCGGGAAAGAGGAGGAGGAGGGAGAGAACTAGGATTTGAGGAAATGGTCATACGAGACCGCTTGCGCGCGCTGAAAGCGCCATGGAATTGGAGTGCTCGCTCTGGCTTGCGTAGCAGCCCGCGAACGAACCTTCAGCGGAACCGCCACTGCACAACCTGCAACCACGCGTATAGCGATTAGCGCGGTTCTGATGCATTGGTTGCGTCCCTGGCCCAACCTTTGCCTGGCGTGTTGCGGCGGCGGCCCCTGCGACACGGAGTGCCTTGCAAGCTGAAAGCGTGTAGCTTCTGTTCGTGGGACGGGGCTCTGGGGAAAAGCAGCGAGTGCGGATGATTGGGAGAGGGGCGCGCTTAGCGTGTGGCGCCCAAGCGTGGTGAGCCGAAAGCCAGCGACGCGACACACCAAGCAATCATTCCCGACCGAACATCCTGGAGCGTCGCTGCACGAACCACATAAACGCAGCTGGATCGAAATACCCGCTGGAACAGCCTACAGTGTCAATGAATACGAGACCCGGAGAGCAGCATGTTTACTCAGATCTCAATGTCATCAACCTGCTCGTCCTGACAACCAGCATCATCCCGAGGAGCAACGCCACCCTGCACATCCTGACACGCCGAGCCATCCTGCGCATCACGTTCCATGCAGGTAGTCTTCCCCTTCGGGACTGCAGTGCCTGCCACTTTGGGGACCTCGACCTCTTCGTTTGCCGCCAGCGCCCTTCGCGAGCGTCGACGAAACACCCAAAGCAACCACCCACATGCGAATCCAAATGCTACCACCGAAGCAGCAAGCCCAACGATGACCCCAGCGGGAAGCAGACTGTCAGCTGTACTCTCCTGCTTGCCACCGTCCACCTGCGATCCGAGGAGGACCTCGTACGCCACCGCAAAAGGGTCGCTGTCGTCTCTGATCGTCCAGGTGGGTCCGCCGCTGATGATGGCACCATCCGGCAGAACGTGAGCCTCGTTAACGTTCATGCCAAGGAGCTGGCCGATGCTGCTGGGGTTCGCCGCGAAGACCCTGAGCTTGTCGAGGCCGTTGACCTCGTCGTGGCGACTCGTCTCGACCTGTTCGGTGGCAACCAACGGGAGCCTCCCATGCCATCTTGCTGGCTCCCGCGAATCGAGGGTAGTCGACGCCGACGCTAATCGAGGCCAGGTGGACGCCAACGGTCGCTACATCGGCGAACCCTCATCGACTACCAGACTCTAGCACATGCAAATGCACTCAAAGACGTAACTGAGAGGACAGGCAAGGCTCCCATGACTTGCTGCCGACGACCTGGACGGACAGGACGGCGACCCTCGCCCCTGTCGAGAGGCGGCGGCCGTCCGCGTGCAGCCAGGTCAGGGCTGCCCGCGCGACCTCCTGGAAGGGGACGTCCAAGTGGCCAGCGACAGCCAGGCGAACGTGGTGGAGCGTCTCGTTCTCCATGCCCAAGCCGCAGAGCTCTTCGCAGTGCACCTCCAGATGCCATGAAGCCGTGAGGGTGACTCGAGAGCTGGCCTCTATCTCTGGGAGCACACACTGGCCATACTGCAGCTCCGCGTCGCCCGGGCAGGCGTCTGCACAGGACCCAGAGAAATGGTCGAAGACGGTCCCGTCGACGAGGCAATCGTAGACAGGAGAGAACTCTAATGCATCGAGCGTGAGTGCCTCCATTTCCGCGCTCATGAGAATCTCGGGCAGAGACCCCGTAGCAGGCCTACTGATCGTGGCGGTAGTAGTGGCCGTCAGTGAGTATGCGTCACTGCTGAAGTCGACAACGCTGGAGACGCTGGTGGTGGAAATCGTCAAGGTAGTTGCCGTCGATGTGCTGGGGATACTCAAGTATCCAATGGACTCTGGAATCGAATAATTCTGCACCCCATGATCCGAGTCGTAGCGACTCAGTGAAAGAATGACTATCGGACTGCCCTGAGACCTGGACACCATGAACACCGACTTCGCGAAGACGAGCGAGTCGTAGTAGAAAGCTGCACCTGCGCCACCTTTGCACACTCTGAAATGCACGTGAGGCCAAGCGAGGTAAGGCTTGACATAGTATGTAGAGGGTGCGGCGAACCGAACAACAGCAATGCCAGACTCATTTACGCGCACGTTCCCTCCATTGAAACCAGGTTCCCAATATTTTGGATAGGCGATATGCATGTCGTTGTATATAGCGGCACCGTGTGCACTGACTAAAGGCTGGTATTCGTGCTCGCTCTTGAACCCAGCCCACCACTGCAAATGCACAGGGTCCTCACTCGTCGACGCGGGCAAGTTCCCCAGGACGACCTCGATGTCTGCGTCTGGAGGGCCATCGGACAAGTGATCCGAGCAGGATGAGCCGTCGACGAGGTCGCAGCTAGTGACATCGGCCTCGTCTGGCAGGCTGTCACCACAACTGCCCCAGATGAAACCACTTGCTGGGTCCCAAGCCTGCGCGCGACGACCGTCGCCGTGTCCCGCTGCGAGGACCCCGAGCGCAGCCAGCATGGCCACGGTGCCGCGAAGTGGCTGCATGCCTTGTACAGAGGTTGGCCGAGCAGGCAAGCTCAAGCGGTGGTGCCCGTCTGCTCGAGTTCTCGAGCCGACGCCACCAGATCATTCAAACCTGATGGCATCTTAGAGGGAGACTGCTCAGCCCCACTGGCCCACACGGTGTTGGCGGGCACCGTCTGGGGGCCCTCGGGTTCTCGGGCGTGGACCCCCAGACCGAAACTCACATTTTTGTTTCTCGACAAGGACCCTCAGAGGTCTCGACCCATTCCCGGGACCCGTGCTTCAACCTGAGTCGCTTTTGACGGCCCCCGGGCCAGGCGAGGGCCTCCCAGAGACAAAATGACGAAAAAGCGCCCGTCGTGACGTTTTCTTGTCCCGAGGGGTCCGGGACAGAGGCCCCCGGAGGCCGAGAGTTGCGAGACCCCGCCGGCGCGAGAAGGAGGAGCTCCGTCCTGCTCCTGCTCCTTGAGCTTCTGCTCGAAGACGGCCTCGGTGTGCGCGCGCTCGCGCGCTCGCGCTCGCGCGCTGGAGCCCAAGGGTCGGGGACCTGCTGACTGGGGCCAATCCAGACCCGGGGCAGGCAGGCTTGACAAGCCCCTGCAAAATCCTGCGGGATCCGTCAGCCGGGCCTGGGTCAGTGCAGCCCTGGCCGTGGAGGATCCTGCGAGATCTGGCGCTCCCACTGACTACCTACCAGACAACCCCAACCCAACCCGAAGACCGAAATTTCGGGTTGGGGAAAGTACGGGATCTACATGTGTTTTTTCAATGCCCCCCGATGTCCCCCCCCCACTGGAAATGGAGGGCAAATCGGGGCCTTCGGGTTGGACTGGGGTGTATTGGTGGGCGGTGACTGACTGACCCCCGTTTGCACTAACCCCCCTCTCTTGAGGCCCGTGCGGCTTGCGCCCGCCCCCCCCCCTCCGGCGCCGATGCATGAGCGAGGCAGCCCATCCCCTCCTCCTCCGCCGTCAGCACGCTTGTTGTCCCGAGTAGAGGATCGACTACAGAATCGATCGACCCCAATTTCGATTTTTCGTCAAGTCATACGTAGAAAATATTCGTAGACCTCCAGGCAGTGTGCGCATGTCTCATGGGCTCGACGAACCAACGACTTCTGGGGTAAGTCGAACCTGCAATCGATCCCCCACTCGAGTTGTTCCGGTTGCTCCAACAGAAGCATGCGGCTATTTTTAGCAGAACGAGCTGCGTACACAGAAAGTCTTGGCGCTCCGCGCTCTGCATGCAACAGCTGGAGTCCCTCCCTGGCGCGCTCCGCGGCGCTGGAGGCACCGCCCAGGGGAGGCCCAGCGCCGATCCAAGAAATCGGCGCGGCGGTGTTTCTTCTTCTTCTTCGAAATCTGAAGCCGACGGGGTTGGGCCGTCAGATTGAAGGCAAAAGGCTTCTGCCCCGTCTCCTCGCACACCCTTCGGGCCTCGGCCGCGAGGCCCGGAATGTGTGCGCTGGTGCAGTCTTCGGACGCCCGGAGTGGGTACGGGAAAGATGGGCAAAATGCCCAACACTAAGTGTTGTCCCAAACCAACAGCGGCCGCTGTTTGGCAGGCGGCCCTCTGTCTCGAATGGAGACAGGCCGCGGACAGCGAGCCCTGTTCAAAATGAACAGTAACTCCTGTTGGGCATCGTACCCATTCTTTCCGTACCCATTTCATTCGTGCCGATAGTCCCTGGGCAACTCCCGCCTCGCGCCTTTGGACGACGGACGACTGCGTGCCGTCACGATCCTCCCCGGGTGTCCCGCCTCGCGCTCTCGGGTGGGGATCGGGCCAGGCTCGGTCGCGCGCGCGCGCCCCACAGATGGAGACAGCGGGCGAACTCGATGAAACAGTACACACCCCTCGAACTATAAGGACGTCGCTGGCAGAGTGCGGCGAGACCGTGAAGTCGACGAGATACTTTCCGAATCTTGCCACACCGGGGCAGAACGACACTTGCTGCGTTTCCGGTCGTTGCTCAACCCTCCTGCAGAAACCTCCTGAGGCCTCCAGGGGGACCTCCGGGCACCGCTGAAGGTCCCTCTCCCCCCCCTCATGATCCTCGTCTGTGTGCCTCATTTTGCCACCCCTCATCCATATCTCGCGCCTCCTTCCTGCTTCTCCTCCTCGCTGTTACTTCTCACAGCACAGCCTCCTTCACCTTCTCCCTCCCGCCGCCCGCCCCCTAACCCCTCCCATTCATACTCCTTGCGCGCCCCCTTTTCCGTCTTGTTCCTGCCTTATCCCTTCTCATACCGCTCCGTGTCCTCGCTCCCTCCCCCTGCGCACCTCCCCCCCCTTCCACACCCTCCTCCTCCTCCTCCTCCTCCTCCTCCTCCTCCTCCTCCTCCTCCGTCCTCCTCACCGTCTGGTGCCCTTTGCCCGGCCTTCCCTCGAAGGATCGGGAGAGATACGCACGCCATGCGCAGTCGGAGAGCACTACATCGCCCGTTCCGCCCCACCTCGGCGGCGGCCGGCGGCGGCGCGGCCTACCAGGAAGCTGGAGAAACATACGCCGCGGGATCCACCTGTAGAACACCTAGATACCTCTTGCCGGATGCACCCGCTGAGCATCACCGCGCCTGGCCACACGAAAGTCGAGCGCTGGAACGACATGTGGCCAGGTGTGGACCCAACTCTCGCCCGGGCCAGCCGCGCATGTGTACACAAACATGCGTCCTGATTTTTTCAACACGGGGTCCCTGGAAGACCCGATCCTTTCCCCGTGACCGGTTTTGCATCCTGAGTCCTTTTCTGAGGGTCCCGAGGCCTGGCGAGGGCCCCCCGAAGCCGAAATTGGCTCAACCCCCCCCCCCGGATATTTGTTCGACGCGACCATGTCTGCCTATCCAGCCTCCTGGTAAGACCGGGCGGCAAGGCTGGGCTCGCCCACGACGCACCCGGCGAAACGGCCGGCGCAGGACTCGGGTTGGGCGAAAGGGGGGATAATTAGCAGAGGGGGGGCTTGAGAATCAGCTCACGTATAGCTGATTTTCCCAGCGCCTCCCGGCGCCGGAGGCGACCATGTATCGAGGAATGGGCCCCTCGGTGGGGCCGAAACCAGCTGCATGCAGCAGATTTCGTACCCCCCCCTTTCCCACGTCCGGCCGGCGCAGGACCAGGCGGGCCCGCTCCCCGAGGCGGCTGCTCGGAGAGGAGCGGCCCCAGGCACAGGAGAGAGAGAGAGCGACGTTTACGTCTGGTGCGCCGCCTGCGGTGCGGGCAGCAGCCCGCGCTTGCGCTGCTGAGGCGACGCCAGGGCGAAGACAAAATCGGGTGAGGAAAAGATCGAGGACATCTGGGAGGCGGCGGCGTGGGAGGATGCCTCGGGCGCCGCGGCCTGCTCGAAGCGTTCCGAAACGCTCTGCGAGCTTTCCTAGCTCTGTCCAGGTTGCCCCCAGCCGCCCGAAGAATGACAAAACCCCTTTTGGCTAGACTCCCTTCCGTGAAAGCTGCCTGGGATCAGTCCACGGGTGTGCACGGCATGCTGATCGACGTCCAACAGCTGCTGAACAGGTCAAGCGAAGCACGCGTCAATAACGAAGCCGACGGGGGACTGCACAGGTATACTGCGAATGCCAAAGTCGAGCGAACCAGCGTGGAATTCCTCGACCGACTTATCTGGGAGGGTGCCCACCCCCGCACCTCCCGAATGCCGCGCGCCAAATGTCGCTCCTGCGAAGGGTCACTCTGGCGTGTAGCCGACCTACGAGAGAGGAATCGGGGTGGTGGCGTGGCGGCTGGCCTGTCAGACATTCCTGTCTGACACGATGTTGCCCGCCTCCTCATGTGCTCCCACCCTCTCCTCTCCGCAGCCTCTCGGACCAGGCGCCAGCCCGGCAAGGGCGACGGATCCGCACGAACTGCAGGCCTGGCACTTGCGCTGTACCGCCACTGCATCGGAGACGCACCGGCGACGTCGGCGTGGAGCACGTCGGCGACTCCGCATCCCAGCGCACCGCCACGAAAAATGCAGAATGCTCACAAGATCCCCCCAAAAGATGCCCCAAAATACTAAAAAAATCAACCCCAGACGATTTGTTTGATTATTTTTGAACATTCCCCCTGTAGAGGGACAGGCCCGACTTAATTTGAGCGTTTTTGGCTGTTCTCGTTGAAACCTGAAAGCGCTGGTTTCCATGACGCCGAGCTGAAAACACTAAAAACACGCCTACAAGGCATACTTGAAATTAAACCTACCTCCCAAATCAGTGTCTCGCCGCGGGAACGGCAAGGCCTGTTCTTTGACTAGTTCTGAACATTCCCCCTGTAGATCGACAGGCCCGACTTCAGACACCATCCGTGTCGGAAAGGTGGCCGCGAGACACAACTTACCAGCCTGGAACATACCCCTATCCCTATGCTGGGCAGCTCCTCATCACGATGCCAATCTTAGGGATTCCCTTTATGTTTTGAGGGCGAAAATTCCTAAGATTGTCATCGCCTTCTGGCGTGTCAATCTTAGGGATAGGGATACGTTCGAGGCTGGTATCGGGGATCTTCTGACCCGGGTCAATGCAGACCCGGGTCAATCAGGCCTGCAAAATCCTGCAAGATCCTGCAACCAAACCCGGGTCAATGCGAAGGATCCTGCAAGATCCTGCAGGATCCTGCACCCAAACCCGGGTCAATGGGAGCCTGGCCCTGCAAGATCCTGCAAGATCTGGCGCTCTGGCTGACCCCCGTTTGCATTGACCCCCGTCTCAAGGCTCCCGATAAACGCCCGCCTCTCGAGGCCCCGGGGCGAGAGCTCGCCCGCGCGGCTCTCTCGGGCCGCGGCTCTCCGGCCTCCGGCGGCCGCGCGGGACCCCGCGGGCAGCCGCCGCGACGCCCTCGGCGCAGCGGCCCCCTGCTGGCCTGCGCCACGCGGCCGCAGGAGCCTCCTGGAACCATGCCGTCGCTCGGACGTCCATTTCCCGTGCATTTGTCGGCTTCGCGCGTGCTTTTCTTGCTCGATGGCCCAGGATGGTCCTCGAGGGTCCTCGCCGAGAAAAAAAGCACACGTCCGAGCGATGCCGAGGAACCTGCAAAGACGCCGGAACACCTCGGACGGGGAGCCCTCGGAACGCCCTGCGCTCAGAAACGGCAGCTGCATACACGTCCACTTTCGGAGCCCAGCGCGGATGCCTCGCAGCCGCGCTGGGCCCCCCTCCCTGGCGCGCGGAGTGCGCTGGCGGCGGCGCGCCGGCGGCGCCGCTACCTAGGGGGCGCCAGCCCCGAGCCAGGAAACGAAGTCCCCAAATTCAGCTTCCTCGACAGAACCTCGGACCGCCCAGGAAGAGCGGCCGCTGGGCCACACGAGGACCGCCGCCGGGAAGGCACGAGCCACCTCAAGGCGCAAAGAATGGCCGCGGACGCTCCTCTTCCTCCTCCTCCTCTTCCTCCTCCTCCTCCTCCTCCTCCTCCTCCTCCTCCTCCTCCTCCTCCTATTCAGAATTCCTCATGCCTGACCTCTTTGGAGCTCCCTGAAGGCGTTTACGGTCGGGAACTCTTGGAAACCGTGTCGCGACGGCGGCCCTGGCGACACGCCATGCCTTCCGAGCGGATAGCGTGTCGCTCGGCTCCGCGAAGCGGGGCGCGCGAGAAAGCTTGGGACGTGGACGCCTCGGGACCGTAACGTGAATAACGTGTCGCACCGAGGCGCGGTAGGCCAGAACCGGCGGAACGATACGCTGAGCCAAAATTCCTGACCGACGCGCAAACCCTTGCCATCACTTGGGGGCATGTTTTACTTCCACTGGCTTCTGCCGGCATTCCGCCGGCTTCCGCCAGCGGAGGCGGCCTGGTCGTACTCCCGCCGCCTTCCGCATAGGAAGATCGACCCTCGAAGCCCAGGCCCTCGACGTCATGATCGTTCATGACGCAGACCCCTAAAGTTGTCGACCCCTCCCCCGGGACCAGCCTTTTCTCCTGAGTCGTTTTTTTTAGAAAGCTCCCTGGGGCCAACGAGGGCCCGAAGAGACTGACCATAGCGAAACAAACAACTCCCGCCGTCAGAGTGGTCATGACTGGGTGGGGTCTGGGAGGCGTGGCCCTCTCTGGAACGCCTCACTTCTGGCGATACTGGTGAACGGCGAGGTTGGGAATTCGTATGTTTCGACGGCGACCTCGCGCAGAACAGGATGCAGAAACTCGCGGACCACACGTTCCTACACTTACGGCGCGCGAGTGTACCGAACGGACACGACTCGGCGACTTGCCGGAGAGCGCGAGCCACGCTTTCCCACAAGTTGTTCGGTCACGAAACGATCCCACCCACAATTGATCAACGAACAACACAGGCATTCAAACCTATGAGGATGAGGAGTGCAGAAGGGAAAGGCGATGAACGCGCTACAGGTATGGGGTATGGGTGCGAGTTGTCGGAGGGGGGTCCCCCCTCGACGGGGGTTCACCAAAGAAATTCTGGAATGGACATATAGGTATGGGTGTTAGCTGCCAGCTCATGAACAATACCGAAACCTCCATCGCCATTACCTGAATCGCCATCAGCGCGTCTACGGTCGCTTATTGCAAGGGATCGGTCGACCCCTATCCCAGGCTTCGGGGGATTTCTGATTGGACCAAACAATTCTTGGGGGCCAACCCTGGGATCTACGATGGAGGGCGCGTCCATCCCCGACTGACGGTTCCTCCGAAGTGCCCCCTTGGGGTGCATGACAGGGTATCCCTCATGTTCTTCGCTTTTTTTCCTTCGTCGAAAAATCGGGGGCTGTGGGAGAAGAATCGCCTGCGCGCTTACCCTTGAGCAGGGATCGGCCCTCCCGACATTCCGATAGGCCTAGCATGAAATGTTCTTAGGATCCCAACATGCTCCAAGAACAAAACATGTTCTTTGGACATAGACCCGACATGTTAAAGCAAGACAGCTCCAGCCAGGAATGTTCTAAAAGCACTCCGTGCAAGCCTGAAAAGGTTCTTAGGACAGTCTCTGGTGGGCCTATATCGGCTACACGCAAGAGTGACCCTGGGTAAGAGTGACCTTTGGTGCGCGGCTTTTGGGGGGCCGCGGGGGGACGAAACCTGGGAGCGCAAGCCGCTGTTCCTGCTCCGTTTCCGGCCATCTGGGGACCCTTCTTCGGGGATGGACAAACCCCCCTTTAGTGCCCTCGACATCTGTGCCCGCACCAAAGGTCACTCCGGCGAAAGGTCACTCTCACGTCTAGTCGACTACAGGCGAGCCAGGACGCTTCGCCACTGAGAGCCTACCCCCTGCGAAGGGCGGCCGCGAGACCGCGAAGCGGCAGCCCGCTCAGCGCCCGCTGCGGGGCACCCCGGTCGCGAGCCCAGGCGAGCGCTGGCCCGGCTCTCCGAGGAGGCGGGGCGCGGGCCCGGGCGCGCGCCTCTCCCGGCCTCCTCCCGCGACGTGGCGCGGGGTGCGTCCTCCTCCCTGCTCTCTCTCCTCCTTCTCCTCCTCCTCCTCCTCCTCCTCCTCCTCCTCCTCCTTGCTCCTCCTCGTCGTCCTCCTCCTCGTCCTCCTCCTCCTCCTCCTCCTCCTCCTCCTCCTCTTCCCTCCGCCTCCTCCTCGTCCTCGTCCTCGCCCTCCTCCTCCTCCTACATTTCTCTCCTCCTCCTCCTCCTCCTCCTCCTCCTCCTCTTTCTCCTCCTCCTCCTCATCATCATAATCATCCTCATCCTCATCCTCATCCTCATCCTCATCCTCATCCTCATCCTCATCCTCATCCTCATCCTCATCCTCATCCTCATCCTCATCCTCCTCATCATCATCATCATCATCATCATCATCATCAGCAGCATCATCGTCATCGACGTCGTCATCGTCATCGTCAGCATCATCAGCATCATCATCAGCATCATCATCATCATCATCAGCAGCAGCAGCATCAGCATTATCATCATCATCATCATCATCATTACCATCATCAGCATCATCATCATCATCATCGTCATCATCATCATAATCATAAGCCTCATCATCAGCAGCAGCAGCAGCATCAACATCAGCATCATCATCATCATCATCATCATCATCAACACCATCACTATGAATACCCGCATCATAATCACCATCATCATCATCATCATCATCATAATCATCATCATCATCTTCAGCATCATCATCATCATCAGCAGCATCACCAGCATCATCATCAGCACAATCATCAACACCATCACTATCGTCACCCGCATCATCATCATCATCATCATCATCATCATCATCATCATCATCATCATCATCATCATCGTCATCATCATCAGCATCATCATCATCATCAACAGCATCATCACCAGCATAATCACCATTATGAGCGTCATTATCAGCATCAGCATAATCAGCATCAGAATAATAATATTCTGATGCATAATCATTATAGTAGTATTCGTATTCTCTCCTCCTCCTCCTCCTTCTCCCTCAGCCTCTCCTTCTCCTTTTCCTCCCTCTGCCCTCTAATAATCATATCACCATCACCATCACCATCACCATAATCAGCATCGCCATCATCATCAACATCATCAGCATCAACATCATCAACATCATCATATCAGCATCGCCATCAGCATAAACCGCATCAACATCAGCATCATCAGCATCATCAGCATCAGCATCATCATCAGCATCGTCAACATCATTATCAGTATCATCATCATCATCCTCAGCATCATCATCAGCATCACCATCACCATCAGCATCACTATCGACATCAGATCCATCTTCATCATCGTCGCCATCATCACCAACATCATAATCATATTAGAAGGGCCTCTTCCTCCTCCTCCTCCTCCTCCTCCTCCTCGGTCACCTCCTTTTACTCCTGGCCCTCCTCCTCCTCCTCCTCCTCCTCCTCCTCCTCCTCCCCCTTTTCTCTCCTCCTCCTTCTCCTCCTCCTCCTCCCTCTCCTCTTCTCCTTTCCCTCTTCTCTCCCCTCCTCCTCCTCCTCCTCCTCCTCCTCCTTCTCCTCCTTCCTCCTCCTCCTCCTCCTCTCCTCCTCCTCCTCCCCCTCCTCCCCCTTCCTCCTCCTCCTCCTCCTCCTCCCTCCTCCTCCCCCTCCTCCTCCCCCTTCCTCTTCCTCCTCCTTTTCTCTCCTCATCACTTCTCGTACCCCCTCCTCCGCCCCTTGATCCCCCCCAATCCCCCCCCGTCCTCCTTCACCCGCTTGCCTAATAGACAATTCGTCGACGCATCTCCACCTCCGCCTTGTGTGTGTCCTCCGCGTCCTCCTCCCCCTCCTCCTCCAGCGGGCAAACAATCGGTGCCGTCAGCCGATCGCCTCACCTCACCGAGCCCGGCCGAGCCACCCTCCTGGCCCAGGATCGACGCACGCGCCCTCACGGCTTGACCAGCCGAATCAGGAGCGGCCCGCCTCCTTCTCCTCCTCCTCCTTCTCCTCCTCCTCCTCCTCCTCCCCTCTTTTTCAACCTCCTCTTCCTCCTCCTCCTCCCCCTCCTCTTTCCCTTTCTCGTCCTCCTCCTCTTCCTCCTTCTCTTCCTCTTCCTCCTCCTCCTCCTCCTCCTCCTCCTCCTCCTCCTCCTCCTCCTGCTGGATCGGTGAGGTGGTCCGGCGACGCCCCCCGACGGGAGGCAGAACGGCGCACACTGGCGCAGGAGCCGCCCCGCGGGGCCCGGCGGGCACGGGGGCGGCCTGCCTTCTGCCGTGCCATGCGGGCCTCGTTCTCCCTCTGCGTCTGCACCACGCGCGCCTCGAGGGGCGGGGGGGAGGGCGGAGGCCGCCCCCTCGAAGTGGGAGGCGGGGGTCGTCCAGAGCCAGTCCTCCTCTTCCCCCTCCTCCTCCTCCTTCTCCTCCTCCTCCTCCTCCTTCTCCTCCTCCTCCTCCTCCTCGTCCACGACATGCCCTCACACTCCACATTCTTCTGCTCCATCCCACTCTTCATTTTTTTACGAAGACAGTTATTACTAAGACGTAGCACCCCCCCCAGTCGCGGACAAGAAGTCGCAGTCTGCGAGGCTCGGAAGAAGCCTGCCGCAAGCAGCAGGCACCTACTTTTTGCAACTTCTACAACGAGCCCGCCGCAGGCGCCGATTTTTCGTTCAAGCAATGTAGATGGGTCGCCGGGAGGGTCGCGGGTGTGTCACAGGTGTCGCGGGTGGGTCGCGGGCCAGGTCGCGGCTGGGTCGCGGGTGGGTCGCGGGTGGGTCGCGGGTGGGTCGCAGGTGGGTCGCCGGCGGGTCGCGAGGTGGGTAGCGGGTGGGTCGCGGCTGGGTCGCGGGGTGGGTCGCGGGTGGGTCGCGGGAGGGTCGCGGGTGGGTCGCCAGCGTGTCCTGGGTGGTCGCGGGCCGGCTCGCGGGGGGACGACGGTAACAAACAACAACAACAGCAGCAACAGCAACAACAGCAACAACATCAACAATTACAACAGTAACAGCAGCAGCACCACCAACAACAACCACAACTACAGCAGCAGCAGGAACAACAAGTATGTTAAGACTGGCTGCTCTTATATAGTCTCGTTCCATTCAAGACGTATATCCCAAACCCTCGATACCCGCCCTGTTCGTTTTCGATCGTGCCCCGCTGGGGGTATACATCCCTCCCACCTGCAACGTGTATTTCGCGCAGTCCTTGGGACAGGGGAAGAGAGGACGGATGGAAGGAAGGGACAATGGGGGCAGGAGGAGGATGGAGCACGAGAGAAAGTAGCAGGGGTGGGGCTAGCAGCAGAAAGCACGTGGCAGAACCAGACGGGCAGGTCGGGCGGACAGACCATAACGGGCGGGTCGGGAAGGCAGGCCCAGGCGGTCAGGCCGAGCAGGCGGGTTGCTGAAGTGTGCGTCCTGCATGAATCGCGAGGAAGTCTCCGACGATAGCGCGACTCCCACATAAGCCGTGAGGACACCCACAGCGAGAGCGTGACTCCTGAATGTCGACTGCGCGGCGTCTGAGAAAATTACCGTAGCACCTGGCAGATGCAAATAAAAGTGGGGGGGCGGTGGGGGCGTCGGCAGCCTGCGAGACTCTGGAGAAGCCCGCCGCAGACGCCAAAGTTTCACACATTATACGACAAGCCCGCCGCAGGCGCCGATTTTTTCCGCAAACCAATGTGGATCGGTCGCGGGTGGGTCGCGGGTGGGTCGTGGGGTGGTTCGCGGGTGGGTCGCAATTGGGTCGCGGGTGGATCGCGGGTGTGTCGCGGATGGGTCGCGGGGTGGGTCTCGGGGTGAGCCGCGGCCGGGTCGCAAGTGGGTCGCGGGTGGGTCGCGGGCGGGTCACGGATGGGTCGCGGGTGGGTCGCGGGTTGGGTCGCTGGTGGGTCGCGGGGTGGGTCGCGGGGGTGGGTCGCGGGGTGGGTCGCGGGGTTGGTCGCGGGGTTGGTCGACGGTGGGTCGCGGGGGGGGGGCGGCGACAACAAACAACAACAACAACAACAACACCACCACCAACAACAACAACAACAACAACAACATCAACAACAACAACAACAACAACAGCAACAACAACAACAACAACAACAGCATCAACAAACACAACACCAACAACAACAACAACAACAACAACCACACCAACAACCATTATCCACCGGTCGGAAGAAGTAGGTAGAAACATGAAGTAGGAAGGCGGAAGAAGTAGATTGCGTTCGGGGCCGCCCCAAAAAAATAACAGCAACAGCAATTACAAGAAGTAGATTACAAATTTTCGGGCCCTGTCTTAGCGGCGCGCAATAGCGCTAGGTCGCTCGGCCCCTCGCATGGCCCCTTCCCTCGCTGATTTCGGTTGTTCTGGCTTGTTTTCGTTTGTCCGTCGATCGCACTGGCAGCCTTTCGGTGGCTCGGCCCCTCGGCAGGCCCAATTCACTGGTTTTGTCTGCTTTTGTTTGTTTTCGCTTGCCCGTCGGCTGCACTGGTCGCCCCAGGCTCGCCCGCCGCCCCGCGGTCGCTTGGCCCCTCGGCTGGCCCCATTCCGCGGTTTTGTTTGTTTTTGTTTGTTTTCGACCGCGGGGCGGCGGGCGAGCCTGGGGCGACCAGCGCAGCCGACGGACAAGCGCAAACGAACAAAACAATCAAAACCAAAGAATTGGGCCAGCCGAGGGGCCGAGCGACCGAAAGGCGGCGGGTGTGCCCGGGGCGACCAGTGCAGCCGACGGGCAAGCGAAAAAAATGAAAAACAACCAAAACCAAGGAATTGGGCCAGCCGGGGGGCCGAGCGACCGCGGGGCGGCGGGCAAGCCTGGGGCGACCAGTGCAGCCGACGGACAAGCGAAAACAAACAAAAGCAAACAAATCCACAGAATTAGGCCAGCCGAGGGGCCGAGCGACCGAAAGGCGGCGGGTGTGCCCAGGGCGACCAGTGCAGCCGACGGGCAAGCGAAAACAAAAAAAAGGAAACAAAACCAAGGAATTGGGCCAGCCGAGGGGCCGAGCGACCGCGGGGCGGCGGGCGAGCCTGGGGCGACCAGTGCAGCCGACGGACAAGCGAAACAACAAGAAACAAACAAAACCAAGAATTGGGCCCGCCGAGGGGCCGAGCGCCCGCGGGGCGGCGGGGCTGGGCCGGCCGATGGGCGGACCAGCGCAGCCCCACGGACAAGCGAAAACAAAAAGAACAAACAAAACCAATGAATTGGGCCCGCCGAGGGGCCGAGCGCCCGCGGGGCGGCGGGCGAGCCTGGGGCGACCAGCGCAGCCGACGGACAAGCGAAAACAAACAAGAACAAACAAAACCAATGAATTGGGCCAGCCGAGGGGCCGAGCGACCGCGGGGCGGCGGGCGAGCCTGGGGCGACCAGTGCAGCCGACGGACAAGCGAAAACAAACAAGAACAAACAAAACCAATGAATTGGGCCAGCCGAGGGGCCGAGCGCCCGCGGGGCGGCGGGCGAGCCTGGGGCGACCTGCGCAGCCGACGGACAAGCGAAAACAAACAAGAACAACAAAACCATATGAACAAACAAACCAATGAATTGGGGCAGCCCGAGGGGCCGCAGCGCCCGCGGTGGCGCGCGGGCGAGCCTGGGGCGACAGCGCAGCCGACGGACAAGCGAAAACAAACAAAAGCAAACGCAACCAATGCATTTGGCCAGCCGAGGGGCCGAGCGACCGCGGGGCGGCGGGCGAGCCTGGGGCGACCAGTGCAGCCGACGGACAAGCGAAAACAAACAGAAACAAAGAAAGCCAGGGAATGGGGCCAGCCGAGGGGCCGAGCGACCGAAAGGCGGCGGGTGTGCGCAGGGCGACCAGCGCAGCCGACGGACAAGCGAAAACAATCAAAAACAAACAAAACCAATGAATTGGGCCAGCCGAGGGGCCGAGCGACCGCGGGGCGGCGGGCGAGCCTGGGGCGACCAGTGCAGCCGACGGACAAGCGAAAACAATCAAGAACAAACAAAACCAATGAATTGGGCCAGCCGAGGGGCCGAGCGCCCGCGGGGCGGTGGGCGAGCCTGGGGCGACCAGCGCAGCCGACGGACAAGCGAAAACAAACAAAAACAAACAAAACCAATGAATTGGGCCAGCCGAGGGGCCGAGCGCCCGCGGGGCGGCGGGCGAGCCTGGGGCGACCAGCGCAGCCGTCGGACAAGCGAAAACAAACAAGAACAAACAAAACCAATGAATTGGGCCAGCCGAGGGGCCGAGCGCCCGCGGGGCGGCGGGCGAGCCTGGGGCGGCCAGCGCAGCCGACGGACAAGCGAAAACAAACAAAAACAAACAAAACCAATGAATTGGGCCAGCCGAGGGGCCGAGCGACCGCGGGGCGGCGGGCGAGCCTGGGGCGACCAGTGCAGCCGACGGAGCCGAGGGGCCGAGCGACCGCGGGGCGGCGGGCGAGCCTGGGGCGACCAGTGCAGCCGACGGACAAGCGAAAACAAACAAGAACAAACAAAACCAATGAATTGGGCCAGCCGAGGGGCCGAGCGCCCGCGGGGCGGCGGGCGAGCCTGGGGCGACCAGCGCAGCCGACGGACAAGCGAAAACAAACAAAAACAAACAAAACCAATGAATTGGGCCAGCCGAGGGGCCGAGCGACCGCGGGGCGGCGGGCGAGCCTGGGGCGACCAGCGCAGCCGACGGACAAGCGAAAACAAACAAGAACAAACAAAACCAATGAATTGGGCCAGCCGAGGGGCCGAGCGCCCGCGGGGCGGCGGGCGAGCCTGGGGCGACCAGCGCAGCCGACGGACAGCGAAAAACAAACAAAACAATGAATTGGGCCAGCCGAGGGGCCGAGCGACGGGGCGGCGGGCGAGCCTCGACCACACGGACAAGCGAAAACAAACACAAACAAAACCAATGAATTGGGCCAGCCGAGGGGCCGAGCGACCGCGGGGCGGCGGGCGAGCCTGGGGCGACCAGCGCAGCCGACGGACAAGCGAAAACAAACAAAACAAACAAAACCAATGAATTGGGCCAGCCGAGGGGCCGAGCGACCGCGGGGCGGCGGGCGAGCCTGGGGCGACCAGTGCAGCCGACGGACAAGCGAAAACAAACAAGAACAAACAAAACCAATGAATTGGGCCAGCCGAGGGGCCGAGCGCCCGCGGGGCGGCGGGCGAGCCTGGGGCGACCAGCGCAGCCGACGGACAAGCGAAAACAAACAAAACAAAGAAACCAATGAATGGGGCCAGCCGAGGGGCCGAGCGACCGAAAGGCGGCGGGCGAGCGCAGGGCGACCAGTGCAGCCGACGGACAAGCGAAAACAAACAAAAACAAAAAACCAATGAATTGGGCCAGCCGAGGGGCCGAGCGCCCGCGGGGCGGCGGGCGAGCCTGGGGCGACCAGCGCAGCCGACGGACAAGCGAAAACAAACAAAAACAAACAAAACTGCGGAGTAGGGCCAGCCGAGGGGCCGAGCGACCGCGGGGCGGCGGGCGAGCCTGAAGCGACCAGTGCAGCCGACGGACAAGGGAAAACAAACAAAAACAAACAAAACCGAGGACTGGGGCAAGCCGAGGGGCCGAGCGACCGCGGGGCGGCGGGCGAGCCTGAGGTGACCAATGCAATCGACGGACAAGCGAAAACAAACAAAAACAAACAAAACCAAGGAACGGAGCCAGCTGCGGGGCCGAGCGACCGCGGGGCGGCGGGCGAGCCTGGGGCAACCAGTGCAGCCGAGGGACAAGCGACAACAACCAAAAACAAACAAAACGACTGAATGGGGCCAGCCGAAGGGCCGAGCGACCGCGGGGCGGCGGGCGAGCCTGGGGCGACCAGCGAAGCCGACGGGCAAGCGAAAACAAACAAAAACAAACAAAACCAATGAATTGGGCCAGCCGAAAGGCCGAGCGACCGCGGGGCGGCGGGCGAGCCTGGGGCGACCAGTGCAGCCGACGGACAAGCGAAAACAAACAAGAACAAACAAAACCAATGAATTGGGCCAGCCGAGGGGCCGAGCGACCGCGGGGCGGCGAACGAGCCTGGGGCGACCAGTGCAGCCGACGGCCATGCGAAAACAAACACAAAACAACAAAACCAAGAGATGGGGCCAGCCGAGGGGCCGAGCGACCAGCGTCACCCAGGGAAGTGACAACCAAACCCTAGAAGTAGATTAGGTTTGCGCCCGCCACAAAAAAAACAAAAAGTAATGATTCTTGAAATAGGAAGGCGCTTAAAGTAGATTGGGTTCTGGGAATCCAAAAATACCTACTTTCAACGACCGGTGGGTACAACAACAACACCAACAACGACACCAACAGCAACAACAACCGCAACAGCAACAACAACGCCAACACCACCACAACAACACCGACAACGACAACGACAACGACAACAAACACAACAGCACCACCACCACCAACAACAACGACAACGACAACGACGACAACAACAACAACAACAACAACAACAACAGCGACACCGACAACGACAACAAGAATATGTATCAGACTGATCGCGCTTACTTGCCAGCGTGTCATTCAAACGAGTTCCCCACACCCTCGATACCCGCCCTTTTTGTCGTCGATCACAACCTCTTTGGGGGGATTGTTTCTCTTTGCTGGGGGCGGCGGGCTTAGACAGGCGGGCAAACCTGAACGGGCGGGCAATCCTTCGTGGGCGTACATGTGCCCGCCATCGGAATTGGTGTGGGCCCTGCAAAAATGAGGGGAATAACGAGGGAATGTGGGAGGAAGGGAGGGGGAGGGACGAAAGAAGAGGGAAAACGCCAAGAGAGAAGGGGTGAAGAGGGGGGTGGTTGATTAGAGGCAGGGAGAGGGAAAGAGAGAGAGAGAGAGAAAAAAAAAAGCACAGGACGAGAGGTAGAGAAATACAGAGAAAGAGCGAGAGAGAGAGAGAGAAAGAAGGGAGAGACAGAGAGAGAGAGAGAGAGAACGAAAGACGGAGGGAGGGGGCAGGAGAGGGGAGGGAGAAGGGGGGAGGGAGAGGAGGGAGAGGGGATAGGGCAGAGAGGCAGAAGGATGAGGGAAGAGAGGAGGGAGAGAGAAGGGAGGAGAGGAGGGAGAAGGGAGGAGGGAGAGGGAGGAGCAGGACGGTAAGAGCGTGCACGTTCGAGGAAGTCCTAGGCGAAAGCGCCGTTCCTGAAGGAAGTCTCGGGCTGGGGCCCACGCCGGGAGGGCGATTCCCTGACGGGCGGGTCGGGCGGGTGCCTGAGTATGGCGAGAGCGCGATTACTCAGTAAATTGTAGCGGCGTCCTTGGCGCATCGTGTTTCCTGAGCGTCGAAAGCGCGATTTCAGAATAAACTGCATGGGCGTCACAGGCGATAGCGAAATTCCTAAATAAAATGTGAGGGGTTCTCTGGCGGGAGCGGGGGTCTTGATGAAATTGCGAAGAACTCTTGACTCAATTGCGAGGACGTCTCAAGCGGGAGCGCCGTTCCTGAGTAAATTGTGAGAAAGTCTCAGATGGGAGCGGGGGTCCTATTCCTTGAATATTCCTCCTGTAGAGGGACAGGCCCGACTTAAGTCTAGGCGAGCCAAAACGCTCCGCCACTGCTTGACTTGGACGCCCGAAATGGGTACGGAAAGAATGGGTACAATGCCCAACAACAAATGTTGTCCCAAACCAACAGCGGCCGCTGTTGGGCAGGCGGCCTTCTGTCTCAAATGGACACAGGCCGCGGCGACACTGACAGCGAGTCCTGTTCCAAATGAACAGGAACTGCTGTTGGGCATTGTACCCATTCTTTCCGTGCCCATTTCGTGCGTGCAGATCTGACGCCTCCGCTCCGTGCCCCCCGAGGGGGAGGAGGAGGAGGAGGAGGAGGAGGAGGGGGAAGAGGAGGAGGAGGAGGAGGAGGAGGAGGAGGGGGGGGAGGAGGAGGAGGAGGAGGAGGAGGAGGAGGAGGAGGAGGAGAAGGCCCGCGAGGGGGAGGGGCCCGCGAGGGGCCCGCGAGGGGAGGGGCCGGGGCCGGCGGCCTCCAGCACGCTCGCCTGCGAGCTGATCTGCTTCAGCGTCTCGGCCGCGGACCCTGGCCCCGGCCCGCGGACGACGACGACGACGACGACGACGACGACGACGACGACGACGACGACGACGACGACGACGACGGGGAGGCAGGGCCAGAGGGCAGGGCACGCCGGGCCTCGGTGCTCCCGCCCCTGTCCTGCCTCCTCCCTCCCGCCCCCCCCTTGTCGGCGCCCTGCCCCTGCTGTTGTCGGCGGCGAGCGAGGAGGAGGGGGGTGAGAAGGAGAAGGCCTGCTCAGAAGGCGGCGGGGCTTATCAGAAGCCGATGCGACTTCTGAGAAGTCTGTTGTGCCTTCGGGGAAGGCCCAGAGGACTTCTCAGGAGGCCGGGGGGACTTCCGAGCCGTCCGAGAAGGCCCGCCCCTTCTCACTTCCCTCCCTCGCTCGCCGCCGATGTAGGAAGACACGTCAAGGATGACGAAGGGAAAGGGTTCCACAATCGCAGCTCCCCGACTCGCCATCGCTCGGACGTCCATACCCCGGTGCACTGCTCGATCTCGTGCGTGTGACACCTCGCAAGATGATCCAAGATGCTCATCGCCGCGGACAGCATGCACACGCCCGAGCGATGCCAAGCTGAATCCCGACTGCATGGGCCCGCGCTTCTCCTGGCGAAGGCTCGGGCCACCACCTCGCAGACCCACCGAGCCTGGCGTGCTGGGTTGCTCGCACCCTGCGCTGTGCAGGCACGAGCACTCGCTGCCTCGCGCGCGTCGGGGCCATGGGCGAGGAGCGGGGGGGGTGGGCTGCGGGCGCGGGGCTGGGCGGAAGATCGCGGGCCACTGAGGGGAAGGCCCTGATATCCTGGCGACTCCATGTCTTCGAGCCCGGCGGTTTCCTTCGATTTCGGGCCGCAGGGCTCTCACATATCCATCCGGCTTGAAGAACGACGCAGCAAGATGGGGTCTGGGGGTCCGGTCGTGTAGCTCTGCGATGTTGCTATTCTGGGGCGACGTTGGGTCTCAGGGAGGGGCGAGAGGTCCTGCGAGTCCAGACGCCCCCCCCCCCCTGGCAGCACAGGAACGTGTTGCCACCCCCGAGCAGGTCAAGGATGGGCGGAAAAGGGGTGCACTTTTCCCTCGGTAAACACTGGATTGAACTCGACAGCCTGATGCGGAAAAGTTCAGATGATACAGCTTCTACATATGTGTATATCTTCGCATTGCCCTGGAAGCGGAATGTCCTGGCAGGGTATAGGTCGAGATTGGGCCGAAACATGTGCAGTGGACGAGCCTGGCGAAGGCGAAGCATTCTAGATCGATGTGTGAATCACAGGGGCGCAGGGGCGAGAAGGGCCAAGAGGATCAGGGCCAACTACATACCTGCACCGATCCTGGCCGGGCCCATCCTGGGCAAGAGGCCCCCAACTCACGCCCTCCTTGCGTGCGGCGGCGAGGGGGGTGCAAAATAGCCAGGGCGCGACTCTGGCCAGGATGGGTCGCCCGTGTACAGCAGCGCGCCCCCCGAGAACGGGACGTGGAAGAGAAGGAGGAGGAGGGGGAGGAGGAGGAGGAGGAGGAGGAGGAGGAGGAGGAGGAGGAGGAGGAGGAGGAGGGAGGAGGACGTAGTGGAGGGGCGGGAAAGCGGGAGGAAGGGGGACAAGCCAAGGACGGGAGGATGAGGATAGCAGTGAGAGGTGATGAGAAAATGATTGTGCAGAGGCTGCCGAGGCGGCAAACCAGGGTACGGAAGGGTGGCGGCAGAGGAAGACAGGTGAGTACAGTGAGGAGGCGGATGGGCTTGGAGGAATCACCAAGGAGACACTGAGGGGCAGCAGTGAGGAGGCGCAAAGGAGGATGCGCAGAGAAGGGCCGAGGGTGGGAGGAGGGATCGAGGAGGGGGGAAGCTGAGAAGGAAAGACAGAGACGGACAGGGGTGTGTATGTATATCTATATGTATATAATAGAGAGATAGAGAAAGAAAAAAAAAAAACAAAAAACAAAAAAAAAAAAAAAAAAAAAAAACCTGAAACCCAAGGACGTCCATTGGTTGATGGCGTTAGAACGTCGTGCGTTCCATCGCAAAACCATCGACATTCAAGAAACCCAGGGCACCCTGGAGGCGAGCAGGGTGTTTCTTGGCATGGGCTTCCACTGTAGGGCCCGAACCCCGATTCACGAGGACAGCGCAGGAGAACGCTTTCCAGATGCTCGACGCCTTCGAGCGAGGTCTGGCAAGCCTTGCGCTCAGAGTTTCCCGACTTCATGAGTCTCGCCACTCACCGTCGCGCTGACGTCTATTCCCCGTGTACGTTCGGCTTCGTGCGTGTATTTCTTTCGCAGGATGACTCACCAGACTCTTCGATTGTCCCCGCCGAGGAAAAAATCACACGCCCGAGCGATGCCACTGGTGTCCACCTTTCCTCGGGGTTGAGTCCCCGTCGCCCTTCCCGGTCCTGCCCCCTCCTTCTCACACACAACGTCGGCTGCGCCAGAGCAGCAACGGCAGAGAGCAGACTGCACCTGTAGGATAGAGACCTCATGACCATAGCCGCCCGACACGCAACACGCAACACTTAGCTTGTTGACACTGAGTTCAACACATTGATTGAAACCGTACGCTTGGCGCGATATGTTCGCCGACACGTTGAGCACACATGCAGCGTGTTAACACTGAAGTTTTGAACACGGCACGTGCTGGGTTTCAAAACGGGCGTATCAGGGCAACGAGGCTCATGACTCGCTCCTCTTGCGTGATTGGGGTGGTGGTGCCTCGAGGAATCGGTCTCTCGTCCTTCTCTTCTGGACCAGCACTCTCTGAGCTGGTGGTGTCCCAAAGCGAAGCCGCTGGTCGGCATACACAGTGCGCAACACAGAGCCAATGAACCATACTATATTCCATATCTCTCAGGTGGCACAGCCACCCCGTGAAATTCCAAGACGCGAACATCTGGGCCGAAAGTGTTGAAGATTTTGACTCGTCCTCCTCCTACTCATCCTTATCCACCTCCTCTCCTCTTCCTCCTCCTGCTCCTCATCCTTATCCTTATCCTCCTTCTCCATCATTTTCCTACTCCATCCACTTCTGCCTACTCCTCCTTCAATATTGTTCCCCACCTCCCCAAAGGTCTCCAGCGGCGTCCCGAAGCTACCGACAAACTCAACAAATCGATCGTCCGAAATCCTCGACCCTAGATCATCCCCATCATTGTCCTCCTCCACCAAGGCGGGGTCACGTCGCAATGACGTCGGCACTGATACTGACATGGCGTGGGTCGTTACATCTTGTAGGATTGCAGCAATGCCACGCGCGAATCGCGCGAGATTCGGAAATTCTTGACTACTGGCAGTGTTCATCCTGGAACGCCCGCGCTTGGGTGGGTCGCCACTGCTGACTGGGATAAGTCGGGGCTCTCAGATCAAGCGATACTGCTGCTCCGGGGACCTCTCCCGGGGTGCGTTCTGACCGGGATGTCGAGGCGAACCCAGCGGTGGCGACGAGGGCCTCCCAGGAGGCCCAAAACGGGGAAAACGAGGCAAGGGTAGCGGTGTGGGTATATTTCCTTCCTCTGGGCAGAAGGATGTGCCAGGCGCCGCGGCCGACTCAGAAGGCTTCAAGACGCTCTGAGAGCGCTCTTGGAATCTCTGGGGCGACTCACCCTGAGCCCGAACCTGCCCGAACTCGGCACCAACCTCTCGCACTCCGTCCCGCGCTGTTGCGGCGACCGGCAAGCAGGGCGTGAAAACTCAGTGGGCCCGCAAACGGCAAAACAATGTTTGTACCATTTTCATTGACATGTCCTTGGAACACGACAACGGTAAACACAACAAAAGCGGTTCCTGAAAACTGTGAAAAACGGCTTGAGGGTCGGAACAGGAGCCAGACATGAAAAAACTGAGGCCGAAACAAAACAACGAAGGCGGAACGGGCCGAAAAGCTGCAAAACGGAAACGGCAAAACGCCCTGTCGTTTCTAAGGACCATCAGGGCCTGGGCCCGAACACGACACCACACTGCCGCACTCCGTCCCGCGATGTTGAGGCGACTGGCAGGCCACCGCAACAATTTTGCCCTTGTTCATACCCCGCCTCCTCCTCCTCCTCCTCGTCCTCCTCCTCCTCCTCCTTCCCCTCCCCCTCCCCCTCCTCCTCCTCCTCCTTCTCCTCCTCCTCCTCCTCCTACTCCTCCTCCTCCTCCTCCTCCTCCTCCTCCTCCTCCTCCGCCTCCTCCCCCTCCTCCTCCACCTCCCCCCCTTCCCGCGCGGGCCCAGCATCGAGGAGACCGCCGGCAGCTGCGTCGAGCCTGCCCTCCCCGAGGTCGCAGGGAGCAACAGGGGGGGAGGGCAGGGGCGGCTGCGACCTCCGAGTGAGGAAAGGGCAGCGCAGGCTGAAGACCTCCAGGGAGAAGGACTGGGGAAGGGCAGGGCGATGAGGCCGCTGTGGGTATGGGGTGTGGGTGCCACTTGTCGGACCCGAGGGGGGCTCCCGTTCGAGAGGGGACCCCTCCTCCGGACAACACACGCCCATACCCCCCCCCGGAATTCCACCCCGAGGAGTCTGGATCGCATAGGTATGGGTGCTAGTCGTCAACTCAAACTGAAAGGTAAACCAGTCAGAAGGTCACGCTTGCCTGTGGCTGCACGCCGTGGCCGGGCCGAGCTGCACGACTTACATGAGAAACCTCATATCGGCAAAACCATCCGCGTGATGCGCCATAGGTTGCGCGGTCATTGGGCTGCGCCATGGGTTGCGCCATCCTGCAATGGTTGCGTTCATGGGTTGCGCCGTACGTGTCGCCATACGCAGATTGCGCAACTCGCTGGGCAATCGGACGTCGGTAACCCACGGGCCCAAAACCGGGAATTTGACCCCCCCCCCGCCCCCCCTGGGCCCTGGACGACACCCCCGGGAACTCACCCAGGGGGGTCCAGCCCTCCCTGGGCAGCATTGGCCCCAAGACGGTTTCGAGAGCCCCGAGACGGCCTAAAGCAGCCCAAGCTGAAAACCAGGAGTCGAAACACCCCACGAAGCTTACAGGACGGCTCAAGAGTGTCCCCAAAGGCCCGCCCAAATCCCTTCGGCAAGCGTACATTTGAACCATACTCGTCTCCTTCGTCTCGGCAGCCTCCCAGACGGCCAAAGAGGCTCCCACGATCGCCCGAAGAAAACCCATGACGCCCACGAAAGGGCCCCGAAACGTCCCAAGAGACCTCCAAGCTGGCCTCGGGGCGCCCAAGCCAGCCCAACCGAGCCCCGACAAGGTCCCAACAGGGGAAATACGATCCGACATTCCGAGCCTCTCCCCCCGAGGTGGGGCGCCCCCGGAATACTCCAAGAGGCGCCCCCCCAGAAGCCCAACAGGCCCCATGGCATCCGCAAAAATACCCTCGGCTGCCAGCCAACAGGCGTCACAAAAAGGCCCCTGCGAAACATCCGCGAGACCCTCATACGCATCCAATAACTTCCTGCCTCACAACCCAGGCGCGGTGGCGAGTATAGCAAACAGCCGCTTATTGTCGACCACTGTTCCGCTAATGCCGGACCCCCTCTCAGCCCACAACTTTCCTGGACCGTCTTGAGGCCGTGGGCCAGCTTGGGGCGCTCGTGGACCTCTCTTGGAGGCATCATGTGGCCCTCTTGGGGCTCTTCGGGCTCGTCTGGGAGCCTCTTGGAGCTGTGCGGAGCCCTCGTTGGGCCGTCATGGGGTTCGATTGGGCCTTTTTGGAGACTGGTTGGGCAAGTTCGCAGCCCACTTAAGCCCGTCTCCTCCCTGTGCCCAGGCCAGAGCGACTTGAGTCGACCGCGGCTTACACAAAAGCGCGAACAAACAAGGGATAGGCGGATATGGCGTAATCGAATAGAAGACTCTGTCTGCTCTTGGCTGCGCCACAAGATGCGGACTCGGCAGCCGAGAGCAAGACGACCTCTTAAGTAGTGGTTGTGCCATTGGTTGCGCTCGCGGCCGCTGGGAATGGAACAGTCGGCTGTAGATTGCGCCACGTTTTGCGCCATCGCGCGCCAGGAATAAAACTGTCCCTTGCGAGTCTCGCCCTAGGCTGCAACCTCGCCTACTGAGAACAATGCGACCTTCTTCTTGTTGCGACGAAGGTGGCGCCTTCAGCCGCCGGGGCAAGTGACACGCATGCCCAGACTCTTGCACGAAGGGGGGTCGAAGGCCAGGCGAGGCGGTGGGAGGACGGGGGGGGTTCTTGGGGCCATCCTGGTGTTTTCTCCAAGACGAAGCACGGGCGGGGGGCCTGGGGAGACAACGAGCGACGGAACAAAACGACGACGACCAAAAAAAACTCCGAGCTCCGAAATCAACCGCTCAGGGGCATGCAACATTCCGCGCCCCAAGGATGAGGCCAGAGACGCCAAGCGCGGGTTCCGCGGCCCAACACGGAAGCCAGGGGGGGGAGAGACGAAACCCGGAGGGGGAAGGCCAGGGAGGCCAGGGGTGCGCTCCACGGTCCACCAGTGAGACCACGCAGGCCACGGGGAGGACCAACGACCGCCACGAGCATGACGGGGTCCGCGGTCCAAAAGGGGGGGAGGGGATGCCGCGGAGGCCAGGGAGGCGAGCGGCGGGCTCCCCGACCGAAAGGGGAGGACGAACGACCACGAAGCACAGCGTTCCGAGGGCCAGGACGGCAGCCCGAGAGGCCAGGGGTGGGCTCTCCGACCCAGCAGAAAGGCCATGGGGGGGGGGAAACGAACGACCGCCAGAGGGGAAACCATGATGGACCTGTTTTCCACCACCACCACCACCACCAGAAGTTAGATGGGGGAAGGAGGGGGAGGACGAGGAGGAGGAGGAAGAGGAGGAGGAGGAGGAGGAGGAGGAGGAGAAGGAGGAGGAGGAGGAGGAGGGCCCCCTCCCCCTCCAACCTGTGGGGTGGTGGTGGAGAACATGGCCCATCAATCCAGGGGAAAGGGGGGACAGACGACCGCAACGAAAGCAAAGCGGTCGGGGCTCCGCGGCCCAGGGGGGGGGGGAGCAGGGAGGCGGGGGGGGGGCTCCCAGGCCCAGAAGGGAAGCCTGGGGCAACGGACGACTGACCACCACGATGACAGAGAGGTCGGAGCTCCGCGGCTCGGGCGGGAGGCCGGGGACGCAAGGGGTGGGGGGCTCCGGGACCCAGCAGGGAGGCCGTGGAGGCCTGGGGGGGGAGAACGAAACAGCCTTGCGACAGTCAAGGGGCCGGAACTCTGGAGCACCACTGCACAAGAGAACGCAAGGATTCGCGGCCCAAGGGGGAGGGGCAGGGGGGCCCGGCGGGGAGGACGAACGGCCGCGTCGAGATATACTGGCCAGCAGCCCAGCAGTGAGAAAACGAAATCGAGTCCGATGGTCGAGTGGGAGCGGCAGCGGCGGCGCCAAATAAGGACGGCGATGCTTCTTGCCAGCGGCATGCCAGCTGCATCCACAACAAGCTCGCTCCAGCCGTCGCCACGCTGGAAGCGGGCCTCCGCAGTGGCGGACCGCGCGTCCCGCGCTGCCCACCCCTCCCGAAACAGGGGCGGGAAGGGCACACTGAGGCCCTTTGGGTGGGCCAGCTTGGCCCAGAAAGGCTACGAGCCACGTCCGTGGGAGCAGGGAAAGAGGACACAGCAAAAGCAAGGGCACACTGAGGAAAGGCAGGCACACTGGGGTCTGCGGGCTGGGATGGGGTGGTTTGGTGGGTGGTGTCAAGTGGACCAGGAATGCCCTAAATCGATCGGGGGGTTGCTGAAGGTGCCCCTGGCGCAAGGTAACCCCAACTTTTCCGTTCAATTTTGGAGCATTTGCTTTCTGAGCCTTGTGACGGGTGCTCTGGAGGCCATCGGGTCATCCTTGGAAACCCTGGGGGCACCTTGGGCTAGGGGCACTTGTAGCAACACTCGAATCGAGTACGTCCCATCGTGCTTAGACCCCCTCTGGCCTGCGAGCCGCAGCCCCTGTCCCAGACCGCAGGGGACACAGGCCTCTGACGGCAGCTCCCGGCCGCCTTCGCGGGCTGGCGCGTGCACGGCTACGACCCTGCGGTGCAGAGAGGAGGAGGAGCAGCAGGAGGAGGAGGAGGAGAAGGAGGAGGACGAGGGGAAAGAGGAGGGAGGAGGAGGGGGAGGAGGGAGAAGGGATGAGGAAAGAGGAAGGGGGGAGGAGGGAGAAGGGAGGAGGGAGGAGGAGGGGAGGAGGGGGAGGAGGGGGAGGAGGGGGAGGAGGGGGAGGAGGAGGAGGAGGAGGAGGAGGAGGAGAGGAGGAGGAGGAGGAGGACGAGGAGGAGGAGGAGCAGGAGGAGGAGGAGGAGGGGAGCAGGAGCAGGAGGGGGAAGGAGGAGGAGGAGGCGGAGGAGGAGGAGGAGGAGGAGGAGGAGGAGGAGGAGGAGGAGGAGGAGGAGGAGGAGGAGGAGGAGGAGGAGGAGGAGGAGGAGGAGGAGGAGGAGGAGAGAGGAGGAGGAGGAGAAGGAGGAGGAGGAGAGGAGGAGGATGAGGGGAGGAGGAGGAGGAGGAGGGGGAGGGGAGGAGGAGGAAGGAGGAGGAGGAGGAGGAGGAGGGAGGAGGAGGAGGAGGAGGAGGAGGAGGAGGAGGAGGAGGAGGAGGGAGGAGGAGGAGGGAGGAGGAGGAGGAGGAGGAGGAGGAGGAGGAGGAGGAGGAGGAGGAGGAGGAGGGAGGAGGAGGAGGAGGAGGAGTGAGGAGGATGAGGAGGAGGACGAGGAGGAGGAGGAGGAGGAGGAGGAGGAGGAGGAGGAGGAGGGGGGAGGAGGAGGAGGAGGAGGAGGAGGAGGAGGAGGAGGAGGAGGAGGAGGAGGAGGAGGAGGAGGAGGGGAGGAGGAGGGGGAGGGGTAGGTGGAGGAGGAGGAGGAGGAGGAGGAGGAGGAGGAGGAGGAGGGGTAGGAGGAGGAGGAGGAGGAGGAGGAGGAGGAGGAGGAGGAGGAGGAGGAGGGAGGAGGAGTCGGGGAGGAGGAGGAGGAGGAGGAGGAGGAGGACGAGGAGGAGGAGAAGAAGGAAGGAGGAGGAGGATAAGGGCGAGGAGCGGTCCCCACAGCAACAGCCTGGGGAGGCAGAGGACAGGCCAAGCAGCAACTCAAGGTGTACCCATACCGCTGCTCGCCGGGCCTCTCCAAGGATGCACTCTGACCAGGACTTCGAGGCGACCTTGCGTGCGCGGCCAAAGGGGGGGCCCCTGGGCCTCTGGGCACACCACCAGGCGCGCAAGCCGCTGCTGTCGCCTCGCAGTAGCGAACGGGGCGCCCCATTGGGCCCGCACTAAAGGTCACTCAAGCGAAAGATCACTCTTACGTACGTGTAGTCGAACGCCAGCCGTGGCAACAAGGCAAGGGTACCGGTAATTAGCGGTCTATCGTGTCTTCTGGCCCCTCGTGTGAAGACAAGAGGAACCGATACCGCTGCTCGCCGGGCCTCTCAAGGGGTGCTTCGGGGCGACTCCAGCCGTGGCGACGAGGGAGGGGGACCCGTAATTAGCGTTCGATCTTCTCTTCTGATCCCTCGTGTTAGACCAAAGGTACCGACACCGCTGCTACCAAGACCTCTCGTGGGGCGCGTTCTGACCAGAACTTCGAGGCGGCTCCAGCTGTGGCGACACGGGAGGTGTATCGGTAGCGGTCCATCTTCCTCTTCTGATCCCTCGCGTGCAGCCAAAGAGGTATCGATGCCGCTGCTCCCCAGGCCTCTCCAGGGGAGCGTTCTGACCAAAAACTTCGAGGCGACTCCAGCCGTGGCGACGAGGGCCTCACAAAAGGCAACAAGCAGGCAACGAATTACGGAAATGCAGCGGCGTCGGTATCTGTCCTCCTTTGAGCATTCTGCCTGCCCGAACCTTGAAATCCGCCGATATGAATACTTCCAATCACGGCCCACAAGTTCTGGCCGCTTCCCAAGCAATGCTGTTTCTACCTGGACCCGCTCTGCATGGCCCCTTGGGCCCATTCATGGTCCGCGAGCGCCGAGATCGAAACCCCTTAGACGAAGCCAGGACGAAGACAAAATCGGGCTCTAGGATCTCTGAGATCTGGCGACTCTGGAAGATGCCTCGGGCGCCGCGGCATTCTTAGAGCGTCACTGAACGCTCTGAGAGCGTTCCAGAACGCTCTGGAACGGATTAATCCTGGTTTTACCCTTGTCCGACCCTTCCTCTGTTGGTATCGGCACTGGTATATCGGTATCGATGGCCAGGATCGGTATCAGTACAGTGCGGTCGCGGTCGCAAGGAACACTTGCAAAAATCCCAACCCTGAAAAACCGCGCGCGAAGTGCACCCGAGAGAAAGCACGGAACACCATGCACGCAGCAGCTTCTTCGACGGCCGCGGCAAGCCACCGCGCCGCGAGCGGAGCGAAGAGACCCAGGGTGCCCTGACGAAAAATAGGTGGCCTCTCAGTGCGCGCCCCCACCGCAATTCTTCCTCTGATGCCTCCGCTCCGTGCCCCCCCCCCCCCTTTGGACGCCCGAAATGGGTACGGAAAGAATGGGTACAGTGCCCAACAACAAATATTGTCCCAAACCAACAGCGGCCGCTGTTGGGCAGGCGGCCCTCTGACTCGAGTGGACACAGGCCGCGGCGGCGTGGACAGCGGGCCCTGTTCAAAATAAACAAAATCCCCTGTTGGGCATTGTGCCCATGCTCTCCGTGCCCACTTCGTGCGTGCAGATCTGACGCCTCCGCTCCGTGCCCCCCGAGGGGGAGGAGGAGGAGGAGGAGGAGGAGGAGGAGGAGAGGGAGGAGGAGGAGGAGGAGGAGGAGGAGGAGGAGGAGGAGGAGGAGGAGGAGGAGGAGGAGGAGAAGGAGGAGGAGGAGAGGCAGGAGGAGAAGGAGGAGGAGGAGGACGAGGAGCCCCGCCCCCCGCCTGCGGGGGCAGCTGCGGCGCGCGGCCCCGGCGGGGAGGGCTCCAGGGACGTGGCCACCGCCGGCAGGGCGGCCCGGAGCGGCGCCTCCTGCGGCGGCGGGCCGGGCAATGGGCGCCGAGTCTCTCGCCGTCGCTCGGGCATTCGATGCCCCCGTGCACGTTGCGGTTGTATGCGTGTTTGGCCTGTTCGGTTGAGGCCCCTCCTTCTGCCTTCCCCCTCTGTCAATCAAAGCTGTGCGCGTCCCGCTTAGCTTCGACCGGAAGAGGTGCGCTCTCGACCCGCGGATCGAAAAAGTGTTGCTTGCTCGCAAGATGGCCCGAAATGCTCCTCGACGGTCCTTGCCGAAAGCATGCACACGTCAGAGCGACGCCAAGCCTCGCCATCGCTTGGACATTCGATTATCCCGTGAATGTGTTCGGTTTCGCGCGTGTTCTTTGTTCGCAAGATGATCCGAACATGCTCCCAAAGGGTCCTTGCCGAGAAGACATGCACACGTCCGAGCAATGCCGAGCCTCGCCATCGCTCGGACCCTCGATGCCCCCGTGCATGTGTTCGGTTTCGCGCGTGCTGTTTCCTTGTTCGCAAGATGACCCGAACATGCTCCTCAAGGGGTCCCTGCCGAGAGGACATGTGATGGGCCTCTTTACCACCACCACCACCATAAGTTGGACGGGGGGGGAGGAGGAGGACGAGCAGGATGAGGATGAGGAGGAGGACCCCCTCCCCCTCCAACTTATGGTGGTAGTGGAACAAAGGCCCATCAACATGCGCACACGTCCGAGCGATGCCGAGGAGGCTGGGGAGGAGGGGGGTGGAAGCTCGCGCGGCGCCCCACGCGGGGAACACCCTGGCGACGGCATCCGCCCCGGAGTCTTGGCGACCCCGGGAAGGGGAGGGAGAGGGCTCGGATGGAGCGAGGGCGGGCGAGGGCGGAGGAGAACGGGGGGGCCAGAGGGAGGAGGGGGGAGAGCTCGGCGAGGGATCGGAGGGGGGAAGGGCTGGAGAGGGCGGAGGAGAACGGGGGGCAGAGGGAGGAGGGGTGAGAGCTCGGTGGCCACTCATGTGGGAGCCTCCCATGCCAGCTTGTCGGCTCTCGAGACTCGACGCCAATCGAAGATAGATCGACGCTGATCGACGCTAAATCGACGCTAAATCGACGCTACGTCAGCGCAATCTCATCGACTCACAGACGCCACTCGACGCCGAGCGACGCGAAAGACCGAATTGCGAGGGCAAAATAGGCTCCCATGATCTGCTGCCGAAGGGAAGGGTGAGGGGGGGGGCGGAGGAGGGACGACGGGGAGGAGGGCCGAGCGATGCCAAGCGGCCACCGCCAGCAGGGCGGCCCAGGTAAAGGGTAAAGGGGAACGAACAATGACATAAACATAAAAACTCGGAAGTCCGCGCGGATTTTGCGGACCGGCGCTGGACCTCCTCCGTGGCGCGCGGAGCGCGCCAGGGGGCGGCGCCGGATGCGCCGCCAGGGGGCCCCCAGCGCCGATCCGAGGAACGATGCTTTGTCAATGATGATGCTCATGATGAGAATGAGAAGGATGTTGGTGATGATGATGATGACGATGACGATGACGATGAGGATGAGGATGAGGATGAGGATGAGGATGATGATGATGATAATGATGATGATGATGATGATGATGATGATGATGATGATGATGATGATGATGATGATGATGTTCGCTCCCCTAGGCCAGGGGGGTCTCCCTCGGCGGCGGGGCCGGGGGAGCGGCGGCGAGTTTCCCGGAGGCCCCGAAGGCCTCGAGCCCTCCGCAAAGGCAGGGGAGGCTGCTTCTCAGGAGACGCGAGAGCTCCTGGAAAGCGCCGCTGGGCTCATCATTATCATCAGCATCATCATCATAATCAATCATCCTCACTACCAGCAGCATAAGCAATCATCATCACCAAAACACTTAGCATCATCACGAACAATAACAACCATCACCAGAGGCAGAAGCAACCACCATCACCATCCTCATCATCACCATCAGCGAACAGCATCACTACCATCATCGCCATAAGCAATCGTCATCCACACCATAAACAGTCATCGTCATAAGAAACCATGATCGCCATCACAAACAACCATCATCATAGGCAAACATCAGCATCATAAGCACTCATCATCACCACAAGCACCCATTGCCATCGCAAACAATCACCATCATAAGCCATCGCCATCATCAAAAAGCAAGCATCCTCACCATCACCACGATCATAAGCAACCACTACCATCACCAGCAACCATCATCATAAGCAATCAGCATCACAAACCATCAGCATCAACACGATCAACCACCAACATCGCCATCGCCAGCAACACCGTGAGGAGCGATCATCACTAGAAGCAACCATCATCATCACAAACAGCCCTTACCATCATCCTCAAGAACCTCCATGACCCTCAGAAGCAATCGTTACCATCAAAACCAAACAACATCATCATAAGCACCGATCATCATCATAGGCAGTCATCGTCATAACCAACCATCACAATCACAAGCACATGGCCACCATCATGAACAATGAGCATAAGCAAGCAGCATCATGAACATCACCATCATCAGGAGCAAACGCCATCATAATCAACAACAACAACAACATCATCGACATCATTAGCAAGTGTCATCAACATCATTACCAGCATCATCATCAACAAGCGCAACCATCACAAGCAGTCATCATCAGCACCATCATCATTACAAACAAGCTTAACCATCATAAGCAACCATTGTCATCTTCCTCTTCACCACCATCGGCAATCACCATCAACATCAAAGACATGATCATTATCACTGATCTGCATCACCATCAGAAAAGGTCATCGCCGTAAGAAATCATGATCACTATCACAACCAAACACCACCATCACAAGCAATTGTCATCACAATCAGAAGCACTCGCCATCACCACATGCAATCACCACCATCACACACGATCATCAATTTCCTGGGAAGCGCTGCTGGGCTCATCCTTACCATCAACATCACCATCATAAGACATCGTCATCATCACCAGCACCATAAGCAATCACCATAACAACCAATCATCACCAGTACAAGCAGCCATCATCATTAGCAATCATCACCATACACAACCACCTCCAACATCAGAAGCAACCACCACCATCGAACTCATCACCATACAGTAAGCAAGCATCATCATCACCATGACCACTATAAGCAATCATCATCTGCGCCAAACGCAGTCACCATCAGAAACAATCGTGGTCACTACCACATGCAGCCAGTACCAGCAGTAATCATCAGCATCAGAAGCAATCATCATCAACACGAACAATCATAACCACCACAAACAATCATCCCCATACGCAATCGTCACCACCACAAGCAAGCAGCATCGCCATCACCACCATCATAAGCAACCACCACCATGACCAGCAAACATCACCATAAACAATCGTCATACGCCGTCATCACCATCGCAATACATCGCCAACATCGACATCACCAACACCACCGCGAGCAACAACCGTCACCATAAGCAATCATCATCACCACGGTCAATCACCATCGTCCCCATAAACAACCATCACCAGCATAAGCAACCGTCACCATCAATTGCCAACATCACCAGCATAAGTAACCATTATCACCATAAACAATCATCACCAGAAGCAACCATCACCATCACGAGCAATCGTCACCACCATAAGCATTCATCACCATATGCAAGCATCACCACCAGCATCATCACCACCAGGAGCAAGCGTCATCATCATCAACATAATCAGCAGCGCCATCAGCAGTATTACCACGTTCATCAGCAACCACCACAACCACAAGCAATCAGCATCACCATTAGAAGCAAGCTGAACCACCACAAACAACCATCGCCATCTTCCTAATCATCACCATTGGCAAGCATCGCCATCATCAAACTATTCATCACTGTGACCAACCATCACCGTAATCGTAGTCCAACACCTCCATGAGAAATCACGACCACAACCACGAACAGAAACACCTTCATCATAAGCAACCATCATCGGCATCCTAAGCAAACGGCATGAACACCATAAGCAATCCTCACCACCAAAAAAAATCATCATCACAAGCATGAATCATCGTGATCGTCAAAAGCAGTCATCACCATAAGCATTCAGCAACATAGCATAAGCAATGGTCATCACCACCAGAAGCATAAGCAATCACCATCAGAAGCAATCATCATCACAAACGAACCTTAGCATCGTCATCATCACCACCAACAGCAATCCTCATCACCATCACAAGCAATCATCGTCAAAAGCAACTGGCATTACCATCGCAAGCAATCAACACCATTATGCTCATCAGCAACCATTACCACCATCAAAAGCAAACATCCGCATAAGTCACCATCATCACCATAAGCAATTCATTTACATCATAAGCAAACACCATCATGAATAATCATCACCAACAAAAGCAATCACCATAAGCAATCATGATCATCATAAACAGTTCTGATCATCAGCATCACCATTATCAGAAGCAGTTGTCAACATCATCATCGCCAACGGCAAGCATCATCATCAGCATCATTATCATCTGAAGCAATCATCAACATCATAATCGTAAGCAGTCATCATCATCACCATCATCGTTTGCACAAGCAACCATCATCACAAGCAATCATTATCACCATAAGCACTCATCACCATCATAAGCAATCATCATCCACATCACCATCACCATGAGCCATTTTTATCATCATCATCATCATCATCATTATTATCAGCACCGTCATCCTACGCAATCATCATCACCACCATCATCATCACCATCATCATCACCATCATCATTATCATCATCAAATGACCATCATCATCATCGCCCCCTCTCGATTCCCATTTGGGCTCGCCGCCGAGAGGAGGGCGGACGAGGGAGAGGGCCTCCCGCGGCGGCGAGCCCCGTCGCGCGGCGGGCGGAGCAGGCGAACGAGGGAAGGGCCTGCAAGTGGCAGCAGCTGTGCCCCCGACAATCTGCCTGGGTGTGGTGCAGGTCGGCGCCCGAAGTTTTCCGAGCGCGCCGGGAGTGTGGCAAGAGCTCTTCGTTCGAAGCCCAAGC